CCACCCGGTAGGCCTGTGATAATGATGTTGGGCAAATAATCCCTGGGGATTGACTGGGTGGAATTTCCGAAACCAACCATTAATGGGAGGAGACCCGGAGTACTGCTCAGACAACTCGCTAGACTTCTATGTAGACAACTTCGATCTCCAGGATAAATAAACAATCTTCACAGGACTAGAACCATCGTTTATTCGGTGGTTAGTTCAGGCATGAACTATTTGGCACTGTCCTGGTCTGTGCCATGGCTGTGGGGGTTTTACATGGTTGAGATGGAGGGGATGGTCTTCCCCGGGCAACGCAGTGGGACGGCGATGTCAACCTTGTAACTAGTAACTTTTGGTATTTGCAACAGCTAGGGGAAGTGACGACTCCCCTCTGACTTAGAGATAAATTTCGGTGGAGCTGGCCCTCCGTCCTGACTTAATGCCATGTGAGATATTAGTCTCCGCCAATGCTTATAGATAACTTTGTCGCTCTGCACTGATCGGGGGGTGGTGCCCCATGGTGCGGGCATGTGGTAGTCGAGGCGTTATTTACCGTGAAAGGACAGACTGCGGTCATCCAGGATAGGGAGCCTGTTCAAACTAGTGCAATGTTTTGAGAAGCTGTCCAGAAACTGAAAACAGGAGTTATGCTGGCTAACTCAAACGGTGATGTTGCGGATGTAGAGGTAGATCCTTCCACTCCATTTACTTCTACTTCAACGTATCAGAGCGGTGACGTAGAGCAGCTTGCAAAGCAGCAGATGACCATTGGAAGTGCTGGAGACGAGACGCGTCCGAGAGCAGAGCGGATATTTGAGATGGAATAAGCGAACAGACGGTCCGCAGATCATCCAAGATGCTTGTCCATAGTTACCCATATAAAAGGGCAGATGGGCCCTTGAATGTATTGATTGAGGACTGTGAGTTAGTCATAGTCCAGCAATTCTGTAGAACTGTTTGGACTGAGTATAATTAGTGTGAAATCGCCTGAAATATTAATTTTTACTTAATTGACCTTTTTATTACTTTTATTTATTTCTTATTAGTAAAACAAGTAGTAATTATACTTAAAATCGTGCTCTACAATGTTTTTTGAAACCCTACACGAATGGCAGGTGACAGGTGACAGCAGGGCCGGACACCCGGACGGCTTACAATAACTACTCGGGTGCTGAACTTCTATTTAAGCCTAAATAAACTATTTTTTAATCGAAATTATATTTAATTGATATATAATTTTAAAATAAAATCATTTTACGATATATATGAAAAAAATCTTTGAAGTCGAAAAAAGTAGCATAAAATGATGGATGTCGCAAATGATAAAATTTTAGTAGCACAAGTTTGTCAAAAGTCGCAAATTTGTGCAAAATCGCACGATCTGACAACACTGAGTGGAAAGTGTTTAATTACCCTTTATTTTTCACATTTTACAACTGCTCCCGCACTTCGGGATACAAAGACCAGTACTTATGGTCTGAAACATAAAAATAAGAACTACAAACTAAATAAATTTAAATAAGAACTAAACTCAAATGCTTTGCAAAACCTAGGAACGCGAAGATTGGCCTTTTAATCTTTATGTATGTATAGTACGCAGAATGCGGAAAAACTACAATACGTAAATATTTATGAACAGTTTCTGTATTAAAGCGCTGATTAATTAACACCATTAAATTACAAATTCTTTTCATTAACATTCGATACTTTTTAATATGCTAAAACAAAATAAATATTTACTAACAATCATTGTATTAGAGCACTGATATTCAGAAGCAAATAAAACGTGAAACATTCAACATCACAAATATGGGGAATAAATAATTAAAAATATTTTTAGCTTTTAAACTCATCGATCTTACTGAAGAAATGGCCAGTAAACTTTCACATTCTTCATCCTTCATCCAATGTTGAGATTGAATTTATCTTCAAGAACGTTATTGAAATAAAGTAACTAACTAGATTCTTCTTAATAAATTCCATATTTGATAACATAGGTTAATTTTATTCAGACGCGTGAAAGCATGAACATACGATTATTGCTCTCAAGGGCAAAATCACGACACAGAATACATGGAACTCAAATTCCAAACATTTGCTATGATTAGCGCGGAGCATGTACTGCGCATATCACGTCATTTAATTCGGAAAATAATGAATACAGCGCCATCTATTGATAATCTACTGATAAAATTTTCAATTATTTGTCCTCTTTCGCCAGACAAATTCTCTTTGCTTAATGTATAAGGGCGAGTCAAATGAAAGTGAGCCAATGCGAATATATGACAAACAGAGTACTTTATTTAAAGGTAGTCTCCATGAACATTGAGACATTTTATCCCATTGACAAATGAGCCGCGTGATCCCCGTCTCATAAAACTCCTTGGGCTGTCGATTCCAAAAAGTCTGTAACGACTCTTCACGGCGTCGTCCGACACGAATCTGGTACCCTTGAGATGTTTTTCGTTTCCCGAAAATGTGAAAGTCGCATGGCGACAAATCTGGGGCGTATGGAGGATGTTGCAGCGTGTCCCACTTGAACTTTGCCAGTTGGGTCTTAATCACTCACGACGGGGACGAGCATTGTCGTGTAGCAGACACACCATTCGTCAATCTTCCAGGTCTTGTTCTTGATTGCACACGCAGCCGATCCCGGTTGCACATATCGCGAACTATTGATAGTCTCTCTCCACGTTTAGCAAATTCAAATCATAATGGCCCCTGACGACGAAAAAAAAGTCAATAGCACCTTTCCCGAGGAAATGACAGCCTTTGCTTTCTTCGGGGGTGGTGAATTCAAATGTTCCACTGTAAGCTTTGCCAGCGTGTTTCAGGTTCGTAGTGGTGGCAACCATGATTCGTCTCCGTCACCATTGCAGACAAGAAGTCGTCACTCTCATTGTGATACCGGATGAGATGAGTCAGAGCACTCCGAACCTCTCTCGTCTTCTGGCGGTCGTTCAAATCTGGGCATCCATTGAGCACACAAAAGCCGATAACCGAGATGATCATGAATATGGGTGAACCGAACCGTGACTGATGTTCACCCGCTCTGCCAGTTCATCGATGCTTATCCTCCGTTCTTGTCTAATCAGCTCATCCCTTGCAATTGTGTCGGGGGGATTGCAAGGTGGCTTTGGCCTGGTCTTGGAACTCTTTGCAACTTTCACGTCTTCTCTGACCGTTTGCTCCCACCTTCACAATGGCCAATGCGATGCAATGTTCACCGTACACAAGCAGTCTACGGCGACTAATTTCATGTGGGAAAACCCTCAGCTGTCAAAAAACCTGACCACACCAGGGCTGTTCCTCTTTTGGAGCGTCCATTATGTCACGCTAACCGTCTTCAACCCAGTGTAAGAGCGCCTTAAAGAACTTAACCTCCACTTCGCGCCACTTTCGTAATGAAGGCTTCTCTGTGCTACACGCATGCGCCGCAGATGATGGACCGAACCATTCTGGCTGAGGAGGGGTTGGCTCACTTTCATTTGACTCGCCCTAATATATTTAGATTAAATTTAAAGTCATTATGACCAGTGCTTTTTTAACGGCTTTTTCAAAGAGGTACGTTAATTACAGTCCCCCTGAGTATGGACATTTTCTTCTACAAATGTAATAGTATACCGAAGGATTTTGAATTCCGGAAAAGGGCATGGACGTAATTTGTCCGTCCCTTCAGAAGAGGCAACTGTGGCCTACCTATTAGGTGCATCCATGACAAAGCGACCACCGCTAACGGCCTTAGTAATGGGTAAGGCCCTCACAACCGACTACAGCCCGCAATTTTGGGAGCCTGGAACATAAATTGTTTAAATCACATTCTTCAGATTCAAGTTTTACAGCAAGCCACCCAGATGGAAAAGTGGTTAGAGACCGAGTGCTTTACCGATGGGCCCGGGTTCAAATCCAGGAGAAGACATGGATGTAAAATGGTCTGTGTCTTCACATGAGGTAACGGTGGCCCCCTAATAGGTGCCTCCATAATAAAATGACTGTAGCTAAGGCCAAAGCTTAAAATTCTGCCATAAAGGGTGGGGGAAGAAAAATTTTTAGGGCGACGTTCAAAAATTGCTAAGGTTTCAACCACTTTATTTTTATTTAGCCCAAAGGGCGTTAGACCAGAATGGCTATTAATTTCGTTTTGGCATTTTGCGTTGAACTCTTTAAATATCGATTTACTTTTCAAATTATTGCCACCCAATATTATAACCCTGTGTTATATTTAAAGAAATCAATAATGAGAATCTGATAAATATGTATTTTCTCGCATTGTGATAAAAACGGTACATAGAGCCATCGAATTTTAATGACGTAATCCCTGCGAATTTGAAGCAAATTTGAAATTTGTTTTTATTATCATTTCATATTTTGTAACACTTTGACGAATTTTGATTAACAAGCTCAAGGATTAAAGCGAGCCACTGCAACGTGTCGAAAAAAAACTTTTATCTCCAGCGCGTGAGACTGTGTTCGGAATTCTAAAGATATGTTCATTTTAAAATTATTTTGCGCCATTACTGTTGAACTGAATTTTATGGTTTAAGTGCGAAGAACGTGATATTTAATAAATTAAGGTAACACACAAAATGTTAAAAAAACGCGCCTTTGGACGTAATTTAAAATCTGAAACCCTTTAGATTTTTTTATATTTTTATTTATTGCTTTAGATTGATAATTTTAATGGTTTATTTTGTATATAATCTATAACATGTGGCTACAAGTCTTGCATTTAAGTTTCTAGTTGTTGTACAAAATTGTATGGCTATTAGTCCTGAGTGCAACGGCTTGTGGAATTGTAAAAATTGCTCGATCCGCGAAAACACATTATCGAAGCTCTGCGACAGATTCTTTCAGAAATTTCCGCAGCCCATACTGCAGGATATAGATAGATTTCAGAGAAGATCGCGAATCAGCTGCGACAATTAGCTGTTAGCTGAAATACTAGTCAGTTATTTGCCACAGATACAAAAATTTAAGAGAAAAACCGATTAAGAGAACAATAAATGGTTACTCACGTGCAGCTCGTTAGCGAAACTATGCAGTAGAACAATGGCAATTCTTCCGAAACGCAGATTCAAACTTCCATCCACACGCACGGGTAGAGAATTCGTCTTCCGACCTTCCATCACCTCCTTATGATGAGGACTCCGACGAACCCACTTGAAGCAAAAATATTTCTCTGTTATTTGGGAGTTATCCAAACATTTGATCTCAATAAACAATTTATTTTCTACGTTTTCGTATACATTAGGCACCATTTGATGCGATCATGTTCCCATTTTACAATTTTGGTAACATTATAAGGTATTTCTCCCGCCTTCTTAGCCTGCCTTCGTGGTGTAGTGGTCTGCAAACTGGGCGCCTATTCCAGAGGTCTATGGTTCGATTCCCGGAAAAGGTGCTGCTCATTTTTCATCTTTCCTGCTTCCAAAAAACCCTAATGTCTCTACACTGGCTCCCGAACTAAAAGGCTGGTGTATGATGATTCTCCACACCCAGGATTTGGCGAATGGCTCCCCTAAAACCCCAGTCGTGCTTTAACAGTGGAATTCTATCAGGTGTTTCTAACGCCTTCTTAGCGTGCTTTCGTGGCGTAGTGGTATGGAAGCTGGGCGCGTACTCCAGAGGTCCGTGGTTCGATTTCCTTAAGGGTTTCTCATTTTTACTCTCGCTCGTGCTTCTAATCGAGGTTGAAATGGGCGCTGTGCCCACCGAGTTTAGGGTTGCCAATCCAAGGGAGAACAGTGCCCTCGCCTCATATTTCTACTCCTTCTTCTGACATCCAAAAATAAACCTGCTACATGTGTCTCTACAAATAGGCTCCCCCCACGATACCTAAAAAGAGCGTGGAGCTATCGAAATGATTTTGCCTCCCCCGATGCCTGACAGTGTGAAGGCTATGTCGCTGATTGTTCCAGCGTGTTTATAGTAGCTCTTCGACGACTGTAAAAGTGTTTTGGAGTTGTCCTGATTAATATTTGATAAATAAAGTGTGTTTTGATACTTCATCCGGTGTCGTCGTTATTCACTCCAAATCTACGAACTACATACGAACGTGAAGGAAGAAAATAACATAACAATAGCATTAAAAGACGAGGAAAATATCAATAGAATTTAACAAATATAATTAATATTTAAGATTATTAATATGATATTAATATAATTTATATTAATATTAGGGATGGCATACAAATATTATGCCATCCCCAATCTCTGCGTCTGTAGGATCTTTTATTATTTTCTTGAAAGTTTGTCACATGATGGTCTTGGATTTGTTTGAGTAAACGACTGGCAGATACATCACGAAAGCGCGCTAAAAAGGCGGGAGAAATACCTTATAAGATAACACTCGAACACACGTAACAGTAAATTCCACAAATAATTTTATTTATTGGATAATGCACATTATCACTGTGGTAGCGCTATGCACTTCCTTATTTTGTTCAGCTTACATCTTCTCAAAGGACGAAAATTAGAAAAGTTAACTCTGCATGGATAGAAGACGAGACTGGAAAAGAAGAGACGAGCGAAGAGAAGAAGAGGGAGATGCGACATAATTAAGTTTTTATAACGAAATCCACTTCAGATCACATGACACTTTAATGTACAGGATTTTGGGTTCAGATTTCGTAAGTTTCGTTCATAAGTGCGCATCAGAACTAAACAAATTTATTGCTGTTATTTTTAGAATGCAACGGAAGTTAAAGGGCTATTAATTTATTACTTGAAAGCCATATTTTATATTTTACGTACATATAACAAATATCCTCTATTCGTATAAAGCAAATATAAAATTAAAATTTAATTAAGAAATTTTTAATTGCAAAGAAATAAGAATAAAAAATTATTATGGCTGCGAACTAATTTATTTCCCGCGGCATCACCATCCCCATAGATTCCCGAGAGGCCCCTTCACTCGATATACCTTCTCCTTTCGCTTTCTCTGTTTCTCATTTAATGGCCGACGTTCTCTTATTTGAAAGTACGTGGAATTAAAATCCACAGCCCCGGAGGCAAGTTGTTTTTCTTTTTTCCCGCCTTTCGACCGTATGTTTGAGAATGTTCTGGAGATATATAAAGCGAACTGGAATTTGCTGACGAACTGACTCTTTCTTGGAAGCTCCGCCTTTCCAGAGGCTATAAAAAAACTCCAATGGAATATCGGGGCTTTTTCCCTGTCACGAGGCAGTAAATTTCATACAAAAAATTTTGTAATCTTTTATTTCACTCCTATATCTTGATTTTGTAACTGCATTTCCCTGACATAAATAAATGGGATCCTGTTTTTTGAAACTTATCGTCGATTATAAGCACGACTAAAGCGATACATCACATACATATATATTATTAGGTTTCATTGAGAATAGAAAAATAATTATTCTGTAATGTAGAGTGCCTAACTTTTTTTCATTTTGTTAGATATACGCGTTATCTAAACGCGTTGCCCACCTTGCGCTCGCAGATCGTTTTGTATTGCTCGCCCCGATTAGGTATATGAACAAAAAATTTTTAAAAGTAGTTTCATTAGATTTCTTGATGTTAAAATATGGTAGATTATAGTCTAAGGGATATCTTGCAAGACGATAGAAATAATGATTGCTGCTGAATATTGACAGCGAACATGAATCTACTGCTCTTCGTGTTAGATGGCTCAGCAGGGCAAAGTCTTCAAGATTTAGAACTCTTTATTGAATTCGAACAAAGGTTATAAAGACTGGACGCATCTTGGTATCCATCTTATTTTCCAACGATATAAACCCTAACTGAACGAAGATCTCCATGGAAAGAAAAACACTTTTTCAATTGACTGGGACTGTAATGCTTTTCAGATAAAGTTAAATTTGTGATCATCAGAGAAAAAACAAATTTAAACCATTTTCAGAATTTATCAAGCCATATTAATAACCACACTGCAATTGAAACAGAGAAATTTCCATTTCCGGCAAGAATAAACGCGAGTAAAATTGTTTATGCAAATGAGGTTGCAAACTGTATAAGTATTTAAGATATGGCTTTTAGCTTTAGCCAAGAAAAGAGAAAAAGATTTCTCGCTGCCTTACCGCGTGGGTGCTTTTTAGTCATTTCATGTCTGCCTGGCCAGAACTTAGATCTCTTTGATACTTGAAGACGTACTGTAGTCTTTTGCATTTCGCTCACTACATACGTAGTGTCAAAAAAGGCCAACATTCGCGTTACTATATGTAGAGCATCTTAGTTCTTATTTAGTTAAGTTAGTTTATTTCTTATTTTCCACGTTTTAAACCATAAGTGTTGGGATCTGTACGCTGTGTGAAATAATAGGTAAAATTAACCTTTCGTATTTGTACATATTTCGTATTTGTATATTTAATAAACCCATAGGTTATGCATATGGAAATATACATGCATACATACATACATATATATATATATATTGTTGCGCTTTTCTTTTTCTGACACCAGTTTTTACGCTACTTTCTTTTCTTCACGTTCGTACGAGGTTCGTGTGGATTTGGAGTGAATAATGACGACGGCACTTGATGGAATATTGAAACACACTTTAATGGCCAGTATTGTCCGGACAGCTCCAAAACACGTTTTTACAGTCGTCGATGAACTACTATAAACACGCTGACACGATCAGCGACACAGCCTCCAGGTTGTCAGGCTATCACGGTGGAGACAGTTTCACTGCAAAGCACTAGAATACAGCTCCCGACTCTGCTTGATCGTTCTCGGAACTCCACGGACTCTCGAGACTCTCCACGCTACAACTCGCGATGCACTCGACGAGACACAGAGCACGGCTCCGACTCTTCGGTTTCAGTCGTTCCGGAGCTCAACCCCTCTCGACGATGCACTAACCGCGATACACTAAGGACTCTTCGGTGCACTCGACGACCCCACTCGGCACTCGCTGCCCGGCTGTCAACTCGATCGACTCCGCAGGGATTGACTCGCTAGACAGACACCAACTCGCGTACAGCGGGTTATATATCTTTGGCTGGTGTTCGAACATTCTTGGCTAAACGGTAAGAATTCGTTCCAGAAGTTCTCCATCCTCTATGGCATACCATTTTGTCGCCAAATGGGCTTTCTCGCCAATGTGAAATCCTGCCTTCCTTGCTATTTTATGGCAACCCTAACCGGCTTTTGCGGGAAAGCTACCCCCGCGCTTGTTCATTGGTAACCGTATATGTAATGATTTAAAATGCTAGATAAGGTACTGGAACTTTAACCCTTACATACTGCGTAGATGACCGAGAAGACAGTAGTGGGTTGAAGGTGGCAGAGTGGAAGGTTAACATATCTTGAAAAGAAAAATCACAATCTTTATTTTTTTTTTTAAGTATATCAAATCATCCTTTTTCAGACAAGATGTTTCCTAATTATATCTGAATACAGTAAGTTGCATTTTGAAGTACGATGTCATCTTAAGCAAGAATGCAGCAGCATACTTGACAAGCGTCTTGCCGGCAGGAGAGCTTCTATGGAAAAGGGTAAAGTATCATATAACTTCAGAGGAAGAAGGGTAGGAGTCGGAAATTTCAGTTCGAGTTTTTGGTTAAAATTAATTTGATTGGACAAGAGGCACCATTAAATGTTACGCAAGATAAAAATCTGGAACCTGTGAAAAGAGATGAATTTGGGGCAGATCCCAAATTTAGAATGCAATTTTGAGTCGCCAATTATATTTTTTGAAACAGCTATCATATTGTAAATCTTGCATATATATATATATATATATAATTTATGTAAAGCGAAAGAACAAACGTAAAGGACCTTTAGGTCAAAAACTTTGCGCATTGTACTGCAAAATTTAAAAGAAAAATATAGTTCAACGCTAAAAAGCCCGCTGAAATACCGGTTCCTGAAAACTTTAACTAAGCAAATAAGTAGCAATGAAATGTGTTACAAGAGAAAAAACAACATTTGATTATTTACAAGTAAAAACAATATTTAAGTAAGCAATTCTAATTAATTAAGGTATTTAAAACCTTGTAAAAGTCTTACAATTATTCGAGCTAAAACATAAAAACGAGAAGCGGTAATGGCAGATTGGCCCAATTCGAACATCAAGGCACATAAGGGAATATTTTTAATGAATTCGAACTAAGCTAACTCATACGCTTTTACCAAAACAGACAATTGGAAACTGTACGCGACACATTTTCAATTAATTAATAAACTTTGTCAAATCTTGAGTCTCAATTCTTGTTCCTTCGTGACGCGTCCGCTTAAAGAAACACATTAAGGAGTAAAAGGATAATAATATGGAAGGTCGATGTACAAAATAAATAATAGCGTATGCTATATCAAGATATACCATCTTATGGGGGACCTGCTAGCTTAAAGAGTTAATACTTTGTTAAGTACCGAAAATTAATTTTAATTATATCTTATAATTATATTATATATTTCTATGAGAAATAGAAAAATAATCATTGTGACATGTAGTGGTGCACTAACGTTTCTCAATTTTTGTTTAGATGGTACGCGTTAGGCAAGAGGTTGAGAACCGCTAATATAGAGTGAAAGAGACTTTTAAACATTTGACGTAAAAATAAGAAATTAAAGTTAAACAACATTGCACAAAAATTTATAGATATAAATTGCATAGCTAAAATATCTAGAATACGGTTAATACATAGCTACGATACGATAGTTCCTATCGTAACATTGTATCAAACGCACCATGATATAATCAAATTTTACTTTCTTACCTTAATGTCAAAAACTTTATCGCCTTCTGTTGATAATATCTGCAATAAATCAAGATAATAATGAAATAGCTGCAGTTGGACTACAAATATTGATATTTACAAAAACAAAAACAAAAAAAAAATCTTATGCATACACCACATAACTTCCTTGTAGGAAATATTAAATTATACGCATTTTTTGCTGTATTTTATTTAAACTTATTTCCTCGAATTTCATTAGAGATAGATTTCTCATTCAATGAATTCAGTTCTCACTTAGCGGTAATACACAAATGCATAACGCGATTTGGCCAGCGGGCATGAAAGCAGGTTTTACGGTGCACATAACTAAAAGTTTCTTTTTGGTCCCACTCGGCAAAAAGACACTGAATTTGCATAAAGGCTTAATACATTATTCTGCCGAGTTTCAAATGTAAACAAATATGGCTGCTATACAAAAAAATTAGGCTTAGCCGCACTTAAACTGACTATTGTACAACTATTGCATGCAGATTAACTAAAGGCATAGAAACGTTAGCCGAATTCAAATGCACAATTTACCAACATATATGAATAAAAAACTGAGTTCATTGAGTCGAGTAACAGCGTATATATATGTATATAGTTCGACCGCTTCATCCGCGACCATGAGCGCAAACACGCATACGCCATTCGGACCGAATTATTCTCAAAATAGGGTGGAAGGATGGAGACTTTCTTTCCCATCAGCATAGCTCTTTCCGGAGAAGAGAAGACCTTTCAGTCGCAGCAAGTAATACGAGTGGACGGGTCTATGTGTTTTGGCAGAATGCCAACCAGGGTTGCGCTTGAGACGGTACGGTCGAACTATATACGCATTTATATACTTTTGGTCCGGCCGATTGCAACCAAAAAGGGAGGTGCACAAATACATGTTATCGCATTCCTACATACAAAATTTGAACATTCTGAGGCTATTTGCTTTTTGAGATGTATTCATACGTAACTACGAACATACGCCACAAAAAAAATCTCTTCTGAATCCATTTTAAATCTGTTTTATAATACGTTTGGGGAAAAAGAGTCCGTAAAGAGTCCGTTATTGTGTCCTTACGTACAGATGTCGCGCAGTTTTTTTTTTTTTTTTTTTTTTTTTTTTTTTTTTTTTTTTAGTACAGTACTTCTTTTACTTCGTAAAAGAAAGCAAACATGGCCAAGGAAAAAAAAAAAAAAAATCATAGGGCCTTGCGCCAAAGGACAGAAGGGAAGCAAACAAAAGCACAGGGTGCTAGACATTTTTTAAATACTTAGGTTTGAGATTAAATTAATCAGCTAAAATTAACATATAAGGATTATTGTAAGTTTCTAAGAAGTTATTAGCCCAAAGGGGCTTTGTCCCTGAGCGATTATTATCTTTGTTTTGCGATTTTGCGTCGAATCACTCTCAATGTCCGTTCTATTTTTAAACTGTTGCCACCGAATATTATCGGCCTGTATTATATTTCAAGAAATTAAATAATGAAGAATCTGCATAAATGTATATATATGTTTCTCCCATTGGGATAAAACAGCGGTACCTAGAGCAATCCAATTTTGAATGACGTAATCCTCCTGCAAATATGCTCATCTGGAAGCCCAAATTTGAAAGTTGTTTTCTGATCGATTTCATATTATGTAAAACTTTAAGGAATTTTTTATTATGAAGGATTTCAAAGCGAGCCATGGCTACATTGTACAGAAAAAAACATTTTTATCTCCAGCGCGTGAGACTGTTTCAGAAATTCTACAGATAGGTTCAATTTTAAATTATTTTGCGATATTGCTGTTGAACTGAATTTTATGCTTTAAGTGCGAACAAATTGATATTTAATAAATAAAAGGTAACCCACAAAATGTTTAAAAAACGCCCCTTTGGACGTAATTTAAAAGCTGAAACCTTTGAGATTTTCTTTTTTTAGTATTTTCCCTATTTTATTTAAATTATTATTATTTAAATTTATTTCCTACTTTATTTGACTTCAAAAATAAAAATAAAAGTTTATGCGTTTAACGGTTGAATCATTTATAAAGGATCATTTATAAAACTATAATCACAAAAACAATAAAATTCTTGGCTTACGCCATAATCGAAGCCACACGACGAGACCGCTAAAACGCTACTCGTCGTTAAATCGAGAATTTCCTTTACGTTACACGTGCATACAAGTATATAAATGGAAAATTAAAGGCACAAAAGTTTCACTTTACTTCATCAGAAAGTCAGTGATCCAAACTCTGCAAAATCTATCAGCGGCAGAGCGGTAAAAGTCTTTGAACAATGCTAGTTCGGCCCGAGGTTGGAATCCCGGGAACGGGCTGTCTGCATAGGGTTTTTCGTGGTTTTACCCATGTGTAATGGGTATATGAGACAGTTTTCCTTAGAAAGTCCTCCACAAAGGCAACCCTCTCGTTAGATAACCCTAGTGTGCTTTGCCATAATTTAAAAAACCAAACTCTCGTGTTTTTTCTAACAGTACGAATGCTTTTAGTGGGTTGAAACATAGGTAATGGCCGATTCTGTTGTGTTTAAAATTACGCGGTAAAAGAAAAAAAAAGAAAATCTGAAAGGTTTCAGATTTTAAATTACGTCCAAAGGGCCTTTTCTTTTAACATTTTGCCTGTTACCTTTATTTATTAAATATCACCTATCCATTTAAACCATAAAATTCAGTTCAAGAACAATATCGCGAAATAGTTTTAAATTGAACATATCTTAATAATTTCCGATATAGAGTCTCGTGCACTAGAGATAAAAAAGTTTTTTTCTGTACAATGTTGTCATCGCTCACTTTGAAATCTATCAGTTTGCGAATAAAAAAATTCGTTAAAGTTTTACAAATTATAAAATCGATAATAAAACAAATTCCAAATTTCAAATTTGGGCTTCCACATGCCCGTATTCGTAGTAGGATTCAAAATTCGATGGCTCTAGGTACCGTTGTTTTATAACAACGCGAGAAATATACATACATTTATGCATATTTTTCATTTATTAATTTCTTCAAATGTAATGCAGGACTCGGTGGCATTCGGTGGCAACAGTTTGAAAAGTGAAACGCACATTTATAGTGAACCAACGCAAAATCGCAAAACGAAGAGAGTCCTTCAGGGACAAAGCCCCTTTTGACTAAAAACGAAATGTATTGCCGTAACGTTTTGCGTTATTCGGAAGAGAATCTTCCCCTCTACAAGATGACGTATTTGAGTTTTTTGCCTGAGCTAAATTTTGCTATTTTTCAGATCATTAAAATGGAGTGTAAAGTCGACAAAAAAAAAGCATTTTCGACACCTTTTTCCTTTTGCGTTTAATCGAGGCTGCCCGAGAGATTTATGAAGTGTATGGAAAAGGTGCTGAACGAACTGCGAGAAATTGGTTTGCCGAATTCACAAAAATGGAAATTCCGACCTCGAAGACCCTGCTCGTTCCGGGATGAAACTCAAATGAGTTTGATGAAGACCGTTTGAATCGACTTCTGCACGACTGGTTTGGTTTATTTAATTATGGCAAAGCACACTAGGGCTATCTGTCTAAGGGGATGGATGCCTTCGTGGAGGACTTTCTAAGAGAAACTGACTCGTATACACGCTACACATGGGGAAAACGCCCATGTAGTGAGCCCGTTCGCGGGACTCGAACCTCGGGCCGAACTACCAGCGTTCAGCGACTTTACCGCTCGGACGCTGGTGGGCCATGAATCAAATTCTGCATGAAGACGCGTGTCAAACCACTCGAGAATTAGTGAAACGGATGGGTTGTAGCTAAATTGACTATAGTTCGACATCTAGGTCTATGGGGAAAGTCCAAAAACTCGGATATTATTGACTAATTTATTGTCTTTTTTTATTATTATTATTAAAATGAAAATTTTTAAATTAAAAAAATCTGATGTGTACGCCATATGACTTACTTGTACGGAATATTAAATTATACGCAACTTTCCTGCATTTCATTTAAAGGTATTGAATTAAAAGTAAACGAATTTTGAATTAAATCTACTTCTTCGATAGCGCATAAACCACAATAGAATAAATGCACTGTTTCAAGTTCACTACATTTACTTACCATAGCGACTTTTCGGCACTGGTTCATTTGAAAGCGTTACATCCTATTCATTTTACAACTCGAAGTGCAAAAAAGTTATATCATCTGAAGAATTACAATTTCTATTCAAATACTATAATAAATCTAAAACGATATATAAAAAGAAATTAAACCAATAAAAAAAAACAGTTTTTCGCAGACGATTCGGCGCCTCTTACCTAAAGCGCATGCGCTACTAATAAATTCAGATCTCACTTCGGGGCAAGGCAAAAATACATGAAAATTCACATATTTTCATTGAAATTTGAAAGATACAGAAAAGCACAAAACATCAAGTTCAGTTAAAACAATTAAAACAATTTTTACAATTAAAATTACAGTTTCTACGCAAAAACAAGCTAATTTAACTTAAATGATAATTCCAGAATAAATTAAGCATAAGTTTAATTCGCAATAATATAAGAAGACGTGACTTTGTTGTTGCGAACTTAGTTTCTCTAGATTGGCAACAAATCCACAATTCTGCTAAGTTTCAAATGTAAATAAACACGGCTGCCATGGTAATCAAAAATTAGGCTTAGCCGCACTTAAAAAACTTTTAAATTGTTGATAATTCCAGAATTATTGCATGTAGGTTAACTAAAGCCATAAAAATCTTAACCAGAGCAACATAATTCAATCATTTTCAAAGCAAAAAATGCACAATTTACAAACATATAAGAATAAAACCGGGCTCACTGAGCCGAGTAACACAGTGGATATATATATATATATTATTTTGCCGATACTACCTTTCTGTAGAGAGTATCTTCCATGAGATCTTCCATACTGAGTTCTTTCAGGTCGACGCGAAGAACGGACTTCTCGTTCGCCTTCAATACATAATCCGTTTCCAGTCCTAAATAAATGTCACAATCAAACTTCATGCTCGAAAACATATATTAGAGAAATTTGTAAATGTATAAACATATCTGAATCATCATAAATGAAAAAGAAAGGAAAAATGTACCAGTAAAATAAACTTATCTTTCGTGCGTATCATGCAATTTTATTAATTTGCGTAAATAATAAAATGTGTCAATTTTATTATTTAAGACAAATTTTTGTGCGAACGGATCTCTATAAGGACATTGCAGTTGAGGGGGCTCATATACCTTAAAACCCATAAGATCTTCGAATATGTGACTTTTATAAGATTTGGAATATTTTATTTATTTTAAAAGCAATTGCTTTCAACTTTTTACAGCTCACTACGCAATATAGTTACTTTGGGAACCAGTAACCATAAAGTTTGTGTTGCCACAAATATTTATAATTTTAATCTTCTTTGAGACAAAATTTTTATGCGTTCACGTCATGTTTCCACCTTGCGCGCAGGATATTTTAAAAATGGCTAATGATACATACTTGAAATTTGATGGAACTTTTTATATGAACACTATCTTCAAACTGAACTAAAAATCTGACGAATATTTTAATATTAAATAATTTTATACACGAAAACATAACAGGTTTTTTTTAATAAAGTATATTTTGTAGACTTAACCCCAAATAAAATAACAATTTGACATGAAATTCTTGGGATTTTTGGTTCGCAGTAGTTTTCAAATGTTATAAAAGCTATATATTAAATACGGAATAAAATTATGCAACAGTTTCAAACTGTGTGCGCAAGGGGAAACATGACGCGAACGCATAAAACATTTTGTCACAAAGCGGATTAAATTATAAAAATGTTTGTCGCAACACAATCTTTCTGGTAACTAGTTCAGAAAGTAGTTATGTTACGTAGTCAGCTGTAAAAGGTTGGAAGTAATTGCTTTTAAAATAAATAAGTTATCCCAATTCTTGCAACCGTAACATATTGGAAAATCTTAAGGGTTTTATAGTATATGAGCTCCCTTAAAATATTAGTAAAGCAATGCATTAGGTCTTGCATGTAAATCATGGCAACTAAACACTCTGATAGCCTTTGATAAGTAAATCATTCGTTGATAAATTAAAGGACATTCAAGAGAAAATCTCTGCATCAAAAGTTGAAGAGTCATTCATATGGAATGAATGGACGCAGATACTAAAAAACGTGGCTTGACGGATCAGAATCAAATTAAAACGGCAGTTTCTCTCTCCAGATCATCAAACAGGAATTAACAGGTGTCGCTTAATAAGATCACGTTTGCAGTCGTTCTTCTGGTGCTCAGGTCTTTGGGCTAACAGAAGCTGCCTTTTATCCTTTGTCTAAGAGTTATGTCACGACAACACTTTGAAGAAATATCTAATAAAGCCTTGGCTTAATATCCTTAAGAGATTATGTGGTGCATTTTGGGAATCACGAGCAACAACTTTTCGTAATACTTATACTTCGCATTTTAGGCACATTCTAGAATATGCTACCCTATTTGGGCACCAGCCTCATAAAACAAAACCTTCAAGGCGTGGAAAGGAAAAAAATAGATTAAAAAGGTCCTCCACCCTACAATTCGGTAATGAAATCAATTTACTGCGTGAAGGTACTACAACCTCTTCTCTCTATAAGTCTCTTCCACAAGCAATTATAAATTTAAACCTCTTGTAACAAAAAAGAGCCAACTGCAGTGATCAAGGAGAAAGGCATTCACACCATCAATGAACTTTCAAATTGGACCCAAAAGCTAGCTGCTGCATATACAGATGGTTTCACCGACTCAGACCTCGGCACGGGTGGCGTGGGCATCTGTTTCATTCATGCTAATGGGAAATCAGAATCCCATAAAATACCCGTTGGTAAAATTGTCTCAAATTATACCTGCTAGCTCGTGGCCATCAAAAAGGCTTTAGATATCTACCTTTCCAAGGCAATCCAGTGGCCTATTATTATTCTCTGATTCTAAATCTGCGCTGCAAGCTCTCCTAAAGGGCAACTCTTAACTTATCTACGATATTACCATGCTCATGAACAAAACTACTGCAGCCCACAGGACCTGCACACTGCAGCAGATACTAGCGTGTGTTGATATTTACGGAAATGAGCAGGCTGATAGCCTTGCCAAAGACGCCCGAAATAGTTATCAACTTTCCAACAGCTTAACCCTTACCGATGCTGACGCAATAGCCAGCTGAAGACTTACCTCCCAATCAATCAAGAAGGATTCCATTTCCTGCCCTAAATTGTAACCATGTCATTTCCACTACCATAGCCAGTCTGAGGTACAAAACACTTGAAAGGAATGAAGATATCCTCTGATGGCCAGCGAAATTACAGTTAGCTGTCCTCACTGTAGTCATATCCAACTTTCTCCAGACCATCTCTTAGACTGTCCTGCTATTTTGGCCAAGCTCTTCAGTATAGATATAGATCCCTCGCCACCAACTTCTCTATTCTTAGAGCTTTTTTATGTTGCTGTGGGTGTTCTGTATACGTTCGGTGCTATTTGACTCCTCTGCACCTCCTAGGATATTACCTAGGAGGTGCAGAGGAGTCAACCTACCTCTGCACTCCTCGGACAAGACAACAGCAACAATCGAAATGTAACAATGAGCAGGCTTCTCCAGCACATATTCTTAGATATCTGGGTTTGTCCTACGAATACCTATTAAAATTTCCTATGCTGGTCTATGAGTTTTTGAATGTGAATAAACTCGTAAACCTTGTCTAGTAGTGGCTGGACTCGAGGATTAGCAATAACAATAGCAACAAGTTTGCAAACAACTACTTAATAATTTTTCGGCTAGCACCAGATGGTAAAAATTCTAAAAACCGGAGGCTCTACACGAGTGTCCCCACAGCTCAAAAGAAGGAGGCCCCGTCTCTCCAAAAACGAGGGCAGACAGCCGCCTCCAAAAAACAAACGAAAATACTAAATTAAAAATAATTAAGAACATCTAACACAAAATTACAAACAAACAAACAAAACCAAACCATAAACACAAATTCACAACATAGAACACCCTATATATCTAAAACCCATATAAATACAGAATTATATTTCAACTGAAGATTCCTACAAGCGCCTTATTTTCAATAATAAACTTCATTAGAGCAATGGTATATGATTTAAATTTTTTTTAATTAATGGCACTTACATTAAAATCAGTTATGTTAAAAACCTGTCTAATAGGGGCTCTTAAATTACAATCAACCACAAAGAGAACTATTACATAGTTTATTTTCCTGTAGACTAAATTGGTTGAAATAGAACGGAAACCTACCACGTCCAGTTAAAACCTGATTAACGTCAATATTCTTCATACATTTCATCTTACTCATGATTTTAATTAGTTCCATAAATGCTTTGTTTTTAGGTGAAAATAAACCACCGTATTTTCCATTTGTTAACATAAAACTCTTTCATTCTTCGAATATTTCGAACCTGTTACTTCAATATCACCAGATGGTAACAGTAAACGATGAGAAAAAATTATTAGTATCTTTTGTGCTAGTGACACTATTTTTCAACCCATCGGACATTGCGAACCAAATTTCTAGTCCCTTGAACTTAATAACAGTGGCGTTTGACTATATTCCATAATAATCGTAAATGAAACTTTTACATTATAATAACATGTAAATGTATACCACGATTCGCCAAGCTAAATGCTTAGAAATACCAACTACCCGTTTCAAAATTAACGCCAAAGCTGAAACTAGCATGTAGCCAGTGTGGCAGCCGCTATAAGAGACAATTTAAGGACAAAGGCAAAAGAAATATACATGTAATCTGAACAATAAAAGATTAAAATAAAATGTTTAAAAGGGCGCTTTTTCACATTTGCCATTTAAATCATTTCTGTAAAAACTTTACCACTCAGTATAATGCAATGCACCGTTTGTGGTACATGTACACTACGGAAAAAAAAAGTTCTTTATCTCTCGTTCTACAGGGCCGTTGACCAAATTAGCCTTGCATTTTCCATGTTTCGAAAGCACAACTTAGGATATGTATTAGATTTATACATAACATTGTTCTAATAGAGATATTTTGACCCCAAATTAGACTTTTTCTGAAATGACATGCCAATTTTTCAAGTCTTTAAGTTATGATACAGAGAACCGCCGCCAATCCGTTGCAACTTTTCTCTCGCCAAATCCTCTTAATTCAATAATAACGCAGTCTTTATGTAAGATATAACAAAATACGATAGCCGCTTTAAAAAGAATAATTGGCGACCTCAAAATGAACATTCTAGATTTCGTGCTCTCCCCCTAAATTCATCGGTTCTCCCGAAATCGAGAACTTTCTATGTTAGGCAAAGGCAACTAAACGTGAAAAGGGCAACTAAACCTAATATTAACCAATCGTAGCTTGTCTCTACAATTACATCAGACGTAGTATAAATACCTCTGGCGAGTTAATTCTGCTGCATTCCTTTCCTAGCTTCCGCCATTGCTATCTAAATTTATTTAAATTTAAGAGCAGCACTGAAATGGCTGTTACTTTTCAGGCTGTTGGTGGTCGAAGTTTGCCTTTCTGAGTGGCGGCATATAAAGTCCAATATGTAAAAAATTACAACAAAGGAATGAACAGTCTTAAAAATACTTGGCAGTCAGTTGCGATGCATTAATTAACGAAAAAAAAAAAAGATTTAAATACGACGACCATACTAGAAGGCTATCTGCACACTTATTGGTTGGCCAGATTTGTACGTAATAGGTGGGCGGCGAATCGGCCTAAAAGCTTGACTTTGCACAAGATTTCGTAGGAGAATGAAGTGTTTATTGTGCCGAGAGAATTTATAATAAGTCTGAGGTACGAGTAAAGCTAAGCTGTGATTGGTTAGTCCCCCCTCCCCGAGTTGACTCAAGCGAACGCCTGGGAAGTACTGGTTAGGATCTGTACCTAGGCAGTCTCAACCACGAGGGTATATAATTTGACTTCACATGACTAGAGCCCGAGTATTGTACTCAGGTTGGTTCAGGCTTGGCAGGGCCCGTACTGGTACCGTCGTGTCTGTTTCTTCGGCTGTGGTGGAGCTATATGGAAGATTTGTCGACTAAGTTCCCGGGGGTTTGACCCCATTCAGTTCTCGTGGCGGGGACTGACAAAGCGGACAGAGCACCTTTTTACAATGTGTTTTGCCGATGGAGTGGTGCCCGGAGACAAGGCGACAAAGTTTCAACATAGCAACGTTACTGTTCTGCCCAATGCTTAGTAAAAGCCCGGCGGGGACTGCGGGGGCTGCGCCCGCGAAAACGAAGTCCCACGGACGTAGGATACCCCAAACTCTTTTGAGTGGGTCCCGTATAATGAGGACCTGGGACGGAGATCCTTCGTCTGGTGTGTCTGTGATTGGTTAGTATTAGTTTTAGTTGCCCTTTTCCAGTAGAGATACATAACATTGAAAGATCTCGAATTTGGGAGAACAGATGAATTTATAGGAAATCACCAAATCTAGAATGTTAATTTTATTATTTTTTAAACAGCTATCGTATTTTGTTATATCTTACACAAACGCACACATACATATATCTATGTATCTATTTTCAGGAATTACAAAATTTCGGCTTCTCCAGAGCAGTTTGAATTCTAGTACTTTCTTTAGAAAGAACACCGTTTGGTCATCTTTAGAATTCAGTTAGATCACGCATAGAAGGTCGTGTCAAAATTTCAGCAAGTTTGCATTTTTCAATTATTGTTTCAAATAGGTTTTTCAGATTTTAATTCTTTACAATCTGAGATTTAGCCTTTTTATTTATAGAAATCTCTAAGTACAGTTTTTCGTTTTCTTGATATTAAAAGTTTAGTTTAGCATAATCGGAGACCTCCCAATTTTTCAGTTTGTTTAAATAACTATGTGCGATTTTTACGAGACTTGGTAGTTTGGCGTCATTTGAGTCGTAGAATCGAAATGAGAAAAAATTGGTATGTTATTTCAGAAAAAGTCCGATTTTATGTCAAAATACCTATATTAAAACAATTTAACAAACATTTTCTATTCATATAAAGCAAATTTTAAGTTAATTAAAATTTAAATTTTAATTGCATACAAATAAATGATTAATTATTGCTGCGAACTAATTTACAATACCGTTTAAATTTTGAGAGCATATGTAAATTAAGTGCACGTATCTAAAACCATAAAAATTATAATATATAATATTCCAAAAAATTAATCCTAAAATATTTTTTAAAAAAATTTAAGACTAAATTAATTTGCATTAGTGAATAACTGTTGCGCAGGCTGGAGACAGATCTTATCAAGGGAAAGTTGCCTCCAAACCTAACTCTTCAATTACTCAATTCGTAATTTTGTCATCCATATAGGCATGAGTATAGTAATATTCAAAACCAAAAGTAAATCAAATGTAGTGAATTACTAAAAAATTTTAACAAAAGGAATTTTGAGAAATTTAGAAAGCAAATTAACTAAGAATCAGTAATCATTAAATGTAAATTCCCAATGTAAAAAGAGTAGAAAACCAAAGTAATTTAGAAACCTTTGCCTACTTGAAAACTTCGACACGAATTATGCACATAAATCAAAAATAAACTATATACAATCTATAAAAAATACATATATAATACTAAAATAATTCTAAAAAGGCAAGTAAATAGTAAGTTTTAATTTAACTTACCTTCAGTTTTCGGGGAGGGGAGTAGTATTTGCTAAACTAAGTGAGGTTGAGTAGTATGTTTCTGCTAACAGTATAAAAAGAGGGCACTAATATAAGGTAAAGTTGAGTGTTAAGCTGCTACCTGTGAGATCAGATCTATTGTATAAACCTACTCTGTAAACTCTTAAGGTAATGTGCTACATATAAATCTAATACATATCCTAAGTCGCGCTTTCGAGACATGAAAAACGTAAGCTGAATTTCGTCAATCGGTCCTGTAGAACGAGAGATATAGAACTGTCCCTTTTTTTATTTGCGCAGATAAATACAAAATGTGTTTAAAATTATAACAATTACAAATTAAATCTTAAAGCTATGTACCATTATTTAAATGTTAATTTCACATTCAAACTTTTTTATACATTATTTAAGTCTTATTTTTAAGTTAGCATGTGCTACTGACAGGTCTAATTGTGGAGCATAAAAATACTGTTGGGTAGTCCGCCACCTAGTGGCATTTGCCCAAGTTAATATTCATGTGCCAACATATTTAATACCTAACAGCAACTTACCCATCACTCGAAGTTCTGCCAGTTCTAAGTCTGTGTCACAGAGACGGACGCGAAGAGCATTCATTCTGGCGGAGATGCTGAATTTTGTGGCTCCTGGTGGCACTGGTGGATCGGAGGAATCGGTGATGACCAGATCCGTGGGGTTGGGCACGCCAGCAAGACGGAAGCTGGAGGATTTTGGCTTCAACCTTTCAGAAATAGTGAACAAAATATAATTGCTTTAATCGTCTTTTGGTGAGACAGAGAAGAAAAATACTACGTATCATTCAATCAACTTTTATAAGTGTACACTCAAACCTGTTTTTGTGCGGGTTTTTTTGTGCGATTTCTTATTTGTGTGATTTTTTTGTGCGGTATATGAAAATTTCAAACAAGTTGGAACATAATTGATGAACAAATAAACTCATTGTTTTTTAATGTATTTCTTCCGCCTTCCTAGCGTGCCTTCGTGGTGTAGTGGTTCTGCACGCTGGGCGCGTATTCCAGAGGCCGTGGTTCGATTCCCGGCGAAGGCGATTGCTCATTTTTCATCTTGCCTGCTTCCAAAAAATACCTAATGTCTCTACAGTTTGAGCAATGACTAACGACTAACTTAATGACGAACAACTAAACTCGTTGTTTGGCATTGTGGGGCAGTGGCCCACTGCCTGCAGTGCCCCGAAATCTGCTTTCTTGACCTTGGCCCCCGGGGTGCTTTAGCATACGCGCTGAGCAAATGGTTTAGCTTGTGGCAGGGCCCTCGGTGTTTAATCCTCAGGCGAACGTGGTACTCATCGACGCATTCACGGGTTTGAAAGGGCTGAGTCAACCTTGCTCAGCCCAGGGATACATAATTAATGACGTTATCAATAAAAATGTCATTTTCTTGCAGTCGAAGCTAATTCTGAAAGAAGTTCAAAATTCCAAAAGGTGTTTCAATCTTGTATGAAGTGCGACACAAAAAACGAGACTAATTGTGTAGCTTGAAAAATGTGGAGTTGGCAACACCTGTTTCAGTGACGTCATGCCACAGACCTCTTCTATCCATGTGGCCAGATTGGACTTAACCGATCACACCAGTTGGGAGTACTGCGTCATTGAGTGAACACGTGCAACTGCAGTCAGCCGGAAAAAAATGTCTAATGTAAAAACGGAACAGCGAATCAAAATCACGTTTCTTGTGACACTTAAGAAATCAGCTACAGATACATTTCAAATTCTGACTGAGGCTTATGGAGATGAAACTTTGTCTCGTGCGCGTGTGCTTGAATGGCATAAACGATTTTCAGAGAGAAGGGACAAAAGTCAAAATTCAAGACAATGTTAACTGTCTTCTTCGACATTAATGGAATTGTAATGATTGAATCGGTTCCCAGTAGTCAGACTATTAATCGTCCACACTACTACATGAAGCACTAAAAAGACTTCGTGAAAACATTAGGGAATAAAGACCATAGTTGTGGAGTAACGGATGGCTGTTGCACCAGGACAATACACCCGCTCACACAGCCTTATCTGTCAAGCAGTTTCTGACCAGCAAAACCATTACTGTGATTGGGGGCATTCTCCTTATTCACCTGACTTCTCTCCATGCAACGTTTTTTATTTCCTAAAGTTAAATTTTACTTAAAGGGAAGTCATTTTGCCTCAGTTGAAGAGGCTCAGGCAAAAACGGATAATCTCCTGAAGGGCCTTCCAAAAACCTCGTTCCAGAACTGTTACCAGCAATGGCAGCACTGAATGCAGAAGTGCGTGAATACTGAAGGGGATTACTTTGAAGGTATAATGACACGGGGAACTGATTCTATAAGTACAGTGATTTATTGGACCAGTCCTTTCTTTTGTGTGTGTGTCACGCCTTGTACGTCTGGTTACCGAGACACATACAAGCGTCTAGTGAAACGACACTGGTCGCAAAAACGGATCACCGAACACATGGTAACTGAAAAATGTTCACTCCAAACGAGTGCGAAGTAGTATCTTCGAGTGGGGAAAGCGATTTTGAACCAGTTTACCTCAAAAAATTTCGCGTACTTTCAGACTGTAAAGGATATTGGTTATACGTTTTGAAACGTTTTGTGTGTATAAAATAAATACATATGTAAATAAATTCTTTGAAAATGTTCGCATGTGTGTTTTCTAAATCAGATTCTAAAAGCGAGATTCCAAGTAGTAGCTGCCGAAGCTCGTGTATTGATTTCATTTAAAAAAGCAATTCTTGGTTACTTCTATGGTTTTTGAGTTGTTTTCTATGTGAGAATTTTTTTATATGGGCCCTATTCACCGCATGAAAACAGGTTTGAGTGCAGTAGGCGCCGCCTACTGTGATCTCAGTTAATGGTATCGTTCGGATATCGTTATCGACTTGACTATCGAATTATCGTTATTGAATCGCAGTTAATGGTATCATTCGGAAATTGTCGAATATCCCACCGTTTTGTATACGGAAACATGGAAAATACTTGGAATATAGTGATCAATAGCCCTGTTAATAGGATTACACTATTATGGTATCAATTATAGAATAACTTTTTTTTTAATCTTAAGTGGCCAAATAGGTTATAGAAATTGGCAAGCGACAGAGAAGTGTCGCCAAATAAGAGATAGAGTCGCCAAATAGCATTTTTTCGATTTTAATCAACCATTTAAAATTAAGCAAACAAAGCAACCTTAATTTGGCACAGATTTTGAATAATTCTCTCGAATTTGAAGGCGGTCAGACACAGGTTCCTCTTCTTCAAGAGATTAAAAAAAAAAAAAAAAAAAAAAAAAAAAAAAAAAAGTTTTGGAACATTTTCCCCATCTTTGGAGCAGAGAACTGCTCCTAAAAAATGAAAACATCTACTCAAATTGCTATTTTTGTTTTTTGGCCCAATTTTAAATTGGTATGTTCTCTCTCTTAATGAAGTATGTTCTCCAAATGTAAAGATTAGGGGTTCAGCAGTGGTTAAATAATTTCCAGAAACTGTTCATAAATGAACTTTTGTACTAAAGACACTGCTAACAGTTCATAAAAAATGATTACCTTTACATAACTAAAATACGGTGTAATTGGTCTATTTTCAAATATTGCTTACATATGCTGTTTCAGAAGAAAAGAAAGAAAATTCAAAAGAAATTAATACTTAAAGATTAATTTGAGCTATGCATTGCATAAAATGGCTATAAATATGTATCTAAAATTTAAAATATAAAAAATTCAATTGAAAATTTTAGATAAAAATTTAGCAACTCAAAAGTAATTTGTCTTCCACTTCATGTCGAGTCCGTTATCTCGAGATTATTTTACCGCCAATTAGTTTGTAAATCTACCTAAAGATAAGGGCAGTACATATTCAAAGTAGTCAAAGTTAGCTGGACCAGTTTATCTATGTCACTGAATATGTACTGCCCCTTTTAGACAGATTTACAAAGTAATTTTGGGTAAAATAATCTCCAGGTAACGAACTAACCATGGAGTGGAAGACAAATTATTTTTTATTGATTTGTTAAAAGAAAAAAAAAACTTCTGTAATTAATTTTCATCACGAACATAACGCACCAATAGTTCTTATTTAAAATAATCGAACTTCTTTATTTAAAAAATAAATTAGGTTACAAAAACAAAGGGGTCGAATAACATGAAACTCGAAAGGGACGGGCAGTTTTACCTACGATCACACATTTTACGATTTATAGCTAAACGCTTTCAATTGATTTTTTTATATTTTGATTTGTAGAACTATTTCTTCCACTTTCTTGGTATGCCTTCGTGGTGTGGTGGTCTGAACGCCGGGCGCGTATTCCAGAGGTCCGCGGTTTGATTCCCGGCGAAGGCGGTTGCTCATTTTTCATCTTTCTTGCTTCCAAAAATACCTAATGTCACTACAACTAATAATTCAACCTCATATTTTACTTTTATAGAAGACAGACGTAACTTCTGTGCGAGGAAGACATGAAAAATCAGTAAACTCAAACGGATCTAAAGACGGATCTTCCAATTAAAAACTGGCAATACTAACACTTACACTACAACAGGACCTCCCTAGATTGACGTTCCGCGACATTCATGGTCATCCTACATACGGATATCCCATTTTAGTTTTAGCAAATAAAAAGAGATTTAACCCTTTCGCCATCCTCTCCTGTCCGCGAAAATCCCCCCCCCCAGCGGCCGTCTGTTTTTCCTAGCGTGTAATGTTGTTTTCTCGGTACATCATAACTTTCCATACATGATTTTCGTTGCGGATGAATGTCAATGAATATTAAGTAAAATTATAAGGAAATAAAGCATAATGGAAAAATAATAATATCTCTGCTTATTTCTAACAGCAGGATAATTTGATAACATCTGTTCCAGGCGGTCCACTCCTCCCATTTTGTTGTCGTAATCTTTTACAATTATTGGTTTTGTTACAGTTCTTTTCCGTGTTCCAACATCCATCATCGAGTTATTATGGAGTGTACTCATCAAACGTATATCCATCTTGTCCTTCCAATTCCCAACCTCATTTTTTCTCTTTTTCTGCTGATTGACGTTGAAGCCATCTCTCACTGTCTTGTATCTTATGTAAAATGGCGCGAATACTCATAAAACCCGGGGCAAATTCAATTAGAGATATAATGTGTGATTAGTCCTACCTTCTAGGAGATATTAGAAGAAACAAAAATAAAAACTCAAGCATTTAAAAAGCGTTTTAAACGTTTAAAAGTTTTCAAATGTAGCTTGTAGCAAGAAGAACGCTTGAGGCGTGTTACGGCCGCCCTGGGGAAGTTTCACTTGTCGCGCTAGACGCGTTACGGAGGACAAAGAGGTTAAAGTTCTATGACCAAAATGCTTTTCGCCTTTGTTCGCTGTACAGCTGGCATCGCTAAGGTCAGTACCAGTGAAAACGCAATGTGATGAACTGTGCATTTCTGCTTTAAAGAAATAACTCAGTTTGCATAACACTGCGGGGAGGAAAAAAGGGGGGCAGTTCTATATATCCCGTTCTACTGGGCCTATTGACAGCAGAACGTTCACAACACGTTTCAGAGAGAGTGTCGTTCGTTTTATAACGGTGTTACACATATTTTGAAAGTTCTTTATTTCAAATTCCGATAATTCAAATTTTCCGATAGATATACGTGAATTTATATATTGACGCGTTTTGAAATTTGGCATATTTGTTGAAAGCGATAATAAAATGAAATGTGGTTTAGGCACTTTTGTTAAAATTATTTTAAAATCAAAGCGATGTGACTTTCTCCCGGTCATCCACAATGTAAGCAGGTAGGAACGATGTGACGTTTTTTTTCGCTCCTGCACAATAGAAGGGAAAGGAAAAATAGGTTGCCATATATTAAGTGATTCGCCAAGTGAATTATTCTTGGCGCGAACTGAAAAAAATGTGCCAAGATAAATTTGGGATTTTTCTCGGTAAATTTCGCACCAAATTTTACAAAATTTAATATTTAGGCATAATTTGGATTCTAGAATCGAAATATGGGAACATTTGGTATGTCATTTCAGAAAAAGTCCCATTTTGTGTCAAAATACATATGTTAGAGTAATGTTGTATATAAATCTAATATGTATCCTAAGTCGCACTTTGGAGACATGAAAAACGCAATTTGAATTTCGTATATCGGCCCAGTAGAAAGGAAGATATAGAACTGCCCCAATTCTTTTCCTTTTTTATTATTATTATTTTTTTCCCAGTATACGTCTCTGTGCGAAAAAGTGTTTTTATCACTAACTCAAGGCCCATCAGCGGCCGAGCGGTAAAGTCGCCGAACACTAGTAGTTCGGTTCGAGATTCGAATACCACGAATAGGCTGGCTTCACGGGCGCTTTCGGAGTTTTCTTCATGTGTAACGTGTTAATACGAGCCAATTTCCCTTAGAAAGTCCTCCACAATGGCATCCCTCCCTTCTGTGTTGTGCTTCAGGGGGTAACACGAAAATAATAATAATCACTATCTCAAATGTAACCAAAGGACTGCTCGGAGCTAAAGCTTATCAACATACATCCAAATGCTGTGCAATCCCATTAATATTCTTACTTTATTTTCTTCCTTCACGTTCGTACGGGATTCGTAGATTTGGAGTGAATAACGACAACACTTGATGAAGTATCGAAACACACTTTTATTTAGCCAATATTAATCAGGACAGCTCCAATAACACATTTTGCAGTCGTCGAAAATCTCCTGTAAACCCGCTAGGCTATAACAATCAGCGACACAGCCTTCACACTGTCAGGCAATAACGGTGGAGACAGCTTCACTGCAAAGCACCAGAGTACAGCTTCCGACTCTGTTTGGTCGTTCTCGGAACTCCACGTACTCTCTAGACTCTCCACGCGATGCACTCGAAGATACATAAGAGTATAGCTCTCGACTCAGCACAGTCTAAGACAAAACTCGACGATGCACTAATTCGCGATGCACTAAAAGACTCTCTCGATGCACTCGACGACCAACTCGGCGCTAGACTTCGAGACACTCGTTCAATGGCTGACTATCAGCTCGCTAGACGAGGCACACACACTCTCGATGTGAGACACACTGACTGACTGCGGACCAGCAGGGTTTATATAGCTTTCGGCCTGCGTTCGAGAACATTCTGGGCTAAACCGGTAAGAATTCGTTCCAGAAGGTTCTCCAACCGTCCATGGTGTATTGCCAATTTTGTCGCCAAATGGACAATTTCACGCCAAAAGTGGCAACTCTGTCTTTCTTTGCCATTTTATTGCAACCCTAAAACTGCTTGGTGGGGAAGCTATCTCACCGCGCCTGTACATTTCGTAACAATATGACTATTAGCATTTATTGAATATTTACTTAATAAAATAGTGATTAATCTCTAATGGCCTTCAATTTTTAAACTTCTGTCAATTAAATTTTAATGTCTTTGTTATCGACAATGGATAAAGTGGCTGTTCTATAGAATGCCGATGAATGAAGCCTTTAAGTTTTCACACATTTCGTGGGCAGTCTGGACAATGCCGAATGACAAACCTGCAAAGTATGGAGTACACCTTCGCTCCGATTCTTTTCGCACGTTGCAAGACACATACACGACTTTTAACGCTCACCCCAGACTCCAAATGCATTTTGCATTTTGTTCATTCTTTGCTGCGCTAAAAAGGAAGAGCAAAATGGGGTGTTCGAGAACAGATGTCCTCAGAAACTCAGTTAGAATTGAAGATATTTCTAATCGCCAAAAAATCCTGTACTCTCAGGATCCGCCAGGAGTGCCAAACGGGAAATTTGCCATCCCACTGTAATTAGTAAATTCACTTCAGCCTACCACGTTGCAATGAAGTTAATTTAATTTTTCTTTGTATGCAAAAATTTGTATTTTGCTTATTTCGAATAGACGTTTTCAAAAGGAATTCTTTCATTTCTTTTTGTAATTCAGAATATCACTTCAGCCTACCACGTTGCAATAAGTAAGTTAATTTTAATTGTTTCTTTTGTATGCAAAAATTTGTATTTTGCTTATTTCGAATAGACGTTTTCAAAAGGAATTCTTTCATTTCTTTTCCGAGAAAACATCTGTATTTTTGAAAAACGCGCGTGTTTTAAATATTTAACCCTATGGATACCTTTTTTCTCACTTTGCCTAAATATTATTTGTTGTTCTATAGAATGCTATGGTTCAGTCCTATTCCCCGGGGCTATTGGTTGCAGAAGGCCATTGATGTTATGTTTGTGGGAAAAAGAATTGTAAACTAGTCATCCTGTTAAAGAAGACATCAATAGCATATACGGATTCTTGACTTATTTCACATACTTAATGATGCTTATTTATTCATTGGACACGAAGGACTCGATAGAATGTTGAAAGAATTTTTAGCCAAGCTTTAACCAAATGAAGTAATGCACGTCTTCTGAATGCCTTGTCGTGACATTTTCCCCAGACTTTGCCTAAATAACATTTGTCGACCTACTGAATGCTTAGGTCCCATACACAATGCCTAAGAAAAGTTTTCAATTAAATGGAGGAACGCACGTCTTCTAAATGCCTTGTCGTCAACTTTTTCGAGATTTGACCTAAATAGCGTTTGTCGATCTACTGAATGTTTAGATCTATCAAATGGAGGAATGAACGTCTTCTAAATGCCTTGTCGTGACCTTTTTCCAGACTTTGCCTAAATGGCATTCGTTGAGCTACTGAATGCTTAGGTCTCGTATACAATGTCTAAGAAAACTGATAAACCAAATGGAGGAATGCATGTCTTCTAAACGCCTTGTCGTGACCTTTTTTCAGACTTTGCCTAAATGGCATTCGTCAAACTACTGAATGGTTAGGTCTCGTGTGCAATGCTCAAGAAAAGTTTTCAACCTAATGGAGAAATGTACGTCTTTTAAATGCCTTTCCGTCACCCTTTTCCAGACTTTACCTAAGTAGAATATGTCGATCTACTGATTGCTTAGGTCTCATATCAATTGCCTAAGAAAAGGTTTCAACCAAATGGAGGAATGCATGTCTTCTAAATGCCTCGTCGTGACCTTTACCCAGACTTTGCTTAAATAGCATTTGTCGGTCTAGCATTTGCCGATCTACTGAATGTCCACATCTCATATACAATGCCTAAGAAACGTTTTCAAACAAATGGAAGAATGCACGTCTTCTAAATGCCTTGTTGTGACTTTTATCCAGAATTTGCCTGAATAGAATTTGTCGATCTAGCGTTGTCCGATCTACAGATTGTCTGGGTCTCATATACAATGCCTAAGAAACGTTTTCAACCCAAGTGCAGAAATGCTCGTCTTCTAGACGCCTTTTCGTGACCTTTTTCCAGATTTTGCCTAAATATCATTTGTCGATGTACTGAATGCTTAGGTCTCATATAGAAGGCCTAAGAAAAGTTTACGAGGATTCTCATGTTTTGTACTTTGCCTAAAAACACCACGCGTTCTATAAAATGCGTAGATATTCTATAGCAGGGTTGGCCAAACTTCATGTCAAGACCCGCACGTTTGAATTCAGGAATGTTCGAGAGCCGCATCTAAATTTTCTAAAAGCCACAAGTTCACATTTGCAACATTATAGAAGTAGTGGAGGAGGTTTTAAATAGAAAGAAACCCTGATAACTTTGTAAAAAGATTCTAAACTAATTAATTACTTCTTTTTTAGACACTGAATAGTTTCAGTTTACCATATTTCATATATATATTTTACACGCACGAGCCACATAAATTGACTGCGAAAGCTGTATCAGGCTAGTGCCACTCCTGTTCTATAGCATGCCGGCCTCAAAGCAAATTTGAGAAAAGCTAATCAAGAACATAGTGTAACACACAGAAATTCGGGATTTCATTGTTTGAAGGGTTTTGTTAGGTATTCCAGGCCGATCCGATGACTTAATTTGACAAGTTATAACAAGAAGCAACTCACTTAGCAGCGACGTACTGAAGAAATCTCGCCAACGTTACAAAAGCTTCGCGATGAAAAGCCACTGAAAGAGCGCTGACGTCCAACACTAAAGAATGCTCCACTTGATGAAAATGACTCTTGAACTCGGGGCAATTAGCCTGTACCTAGAAAAGAGAAAAATATTTAAAATTAAGGAAATTATAAGCGGAAAGACAATTTGAAACGATTCGAACTTTAAATTTCCCACCATAAGATTTGTTAACAGTTTTTAGGTTATCTCTGAGCATTGCAAGTTACCAGTCCGCTCTCAGCCTCACTCCCGATAAAACAATTTTTGTTGGTAACTTTATTATTAAGTTCAACAGCGAAATATTTAAAAACAGCACATTTTTAGAACTCACGACAGACTCTTAGGGGGTGCCATACATTTTTTAATATTCGCTATATTATTTCTTTTAGAACTAGCCGAACGAGTTGCCAGGTTTTCAATGAAATAGTAAAAACGAACAAAGAAATATTAAAAAATCCATTAAGTTGAATTTTCGATTTTCTAATTTTTTTACTTAAAATTGCACAAAGAGGTAAAAGGAAGTACCGGAACGGTATTTTTCCGTTTTGAAGACCGTAAAAAAATTGCAGCGAAAATGCATGCGCAAAAGCGCCAAATCTAGCAAATGCGCCCATTTAACAGCGCGCCATATCTAGAGTACGCGCTAATTTCAAATTGCGTAAGTTTATATAGTTCTATATTTCTTAAGCCGCGACTGAAATACTAGTTTAATTTTTAAATCCTTTTTTAATTTTAAATCATTTTTGATTTTAAATCCTTTTTTAATTGTAAATTCTTTTTTGATTTCAAATCCTTTTTTGACTTTAAATCCTTTTAATTTTAAATTAAATCCTTTGGTATCCATACGGAAAAAATTTGGGAATTGGCAACGGAAAGTCTGGCAATAGAATATTTGGGTAATGTGCAGAATCACCCACTGCCTGACGCATTTTTAAGAATTGTACATACTCGGTATCCATGTACACATCAACCTATTTTCACTTAAAAAAAAAAATCCCAGAATTGCACAAAAATGGCCCTGCGCACGACCTTGACTTTATCTGTGTACACATCGACCTAGTCACTTAAAAAGTAAAAGAAAATTGACAAAAATCCAATTGTTTTCACCCTTGTAAAAAGCGGCAAACAAATAGGTGGGCGATTCTGCACTTTACGGAAATTTTTTTCAAAGAAAAGGCATCCTTCATTATAGAAAATTATGCTTGAACAACCAACGAGATGAAATTATGCTTTAGCGATAACTCGGTAGCGAAATACCGATGTAGGCATACATTCAGTTACGTTTAGCAATTTTTATATAAATTATAATAATGATCTGAAATAGTTATTTACTCTTATGCTTCCATTCAGTCATGTTTAGATTTTTTATATAATAATAAAAATGTATTATATGAAATTAACCTTTCATCTAAATTAAAACATAGATAGTTATTTACTATAATACTTCCTTTCTTGCGTTAGGCTTGTCGCAATTATTTTTGGAAGCACTGGCATCAGCTTTGGCGATTTTTTACGGCCGTCAAAACCGAATAGTATCAAAGGAAAAATTGTTAGAAAAGTAAAAAGGCCTTCACGTCATCGTCTTATCATGACGACTTTCCATATAGAAGGCCCTTGTTTTAATAACAGAACAGCAATTAACAGAAGAAAAATAAACAACAACAAAACAAATAAATAAAAATTTTAAAAAAATCTGAAAGCTTTCAGATTTTACATTACGCCCAAAGACGCATTTTTTTAAAAGTTTAATGTGTTACATTTATTTATTAAATATCATGTGCTTTGCACTTAATCCACAAAACAGTTCAACGGCACTATCGCAAAATAATTTTAAAATGTGTATATTTTCGAAATTTTCGATACAAAGTGTCGTGCGCTGGAGATACATTTTTTTTTTTTTTTCGTACACTGTGTCCATGACTCACTTTGAAATCCTTGAGTTTGTTAATGAAAAATCATTAAAGTTTTATAAAATTTGAAATGGACATTAAAACAAATTCAATATTCGGGCTTCCAAGTTCCCATGTTCGGATGGAGGACTACGTTATTCAAAATTGGATGGCTCTAGGTACCGTTGTTTTATCACAGTGCGAGAAACATACATATATTCATGAAGACTCTTCATTATTTAATTTCTTTAAATATAAAACAGGGCTCTAATGTTTGGTGGCAACAATTTAAAAAGTGAAACAACGCAAAATGCTAAGGCGAAAATATAGTCCTTCTGGGAAAACTCCCCTTTGGACTGATTATATAATGCGTTCTATAAGTGCATCTAGCGTTATTTCATTAAAATGTTTAATATTTCTAACTAGGCATCTCATGATTTAAATGCAGTTTTATTGAAATCAGTCGAATTAAAAGAAAAAATAAAGAACTGCGTTTGTTGCTTTCAAATCACTTTATTTGGTACAAGTAACAGAAAGATAAACTTTGTAATATAAATGGGCTAATCTTTGGAATATGGTAACAGGTAGTTTGGAGACATTTTGGTAAGCCGATAAAGCTAGGACTAATCTGAGAAGTACACAGTTCGAATCAGCGATTATTTTGCCTCAGAGAAATGAGAGATCATGAGACATGTCATGTGACATTTTCCGGAAAATTCCGATCGTGATTTTAGCTAATAAGCACTTAGAAACAATTTCGCTGCTAAAGTGCAGAATTGCCCACTTATTTGTTTGGCGCTTTTTACAAGAGTAAGAAAAATTAGATTTGTGTCAATTTTCTTTGACTTTTTAAGTGAAAATAGCTCGATGTGTACATGGATAAAGTCAAGAGTGTGCGCAATGCCATTTTTGTGCAATTCTGTGATGTTTTTAAGTGAAAATAGGTCGACGTGTACATGGATACCGTGTATGTGCAATTCTTAAAAACGCGGCAAGCAGTGGACGATTCTGCACTTTCTCCCAATTTCGCACCTAATCTTCGTCATGATTAAGCACTTTTCTTCCATAAAAGTTCTAGCATAAGCGTAATTCTGCTAGCAGATTGTTGGAAAAAAATTTTGAGTTAAAAAAAAAAAAAAGAAAGAAAAAACATACCTTTATTTCGTGAAAACAAAATGGCGTCCAAAAAAAAATTAGCAGGTTGCTGTAGCAGGGTTGGTCGCCAAATTTTCGCCAAAAAATTGCCAACTTATTATAATCCGAAGATTCACCTATAAATGTTTCATTTTATTGGGTTCTTAATAGAGTGAATGCACTAGTCCGATAAAAAGTTAATAAAATGTATTCTTATGAAATGAAATATATCAATCATAGAATATCACAGTTTTTTCACGCAATATAAACAGTGGTTATTTCTTAACCACTGTTATCTTAAAAGTGGTTATATCTTAACCACTCAAACATTAATTAGAACGCAATCCAAAGCGCAGAGAAAGCTAATCGCGAATTCGCTACACTTAACAAACAAAAGTTATCTAAACAACTACTGAGATACTTCTCTCCTGGTTTTTATAGTTTTTAAATAGGCCGCGTGAGACAATTCTAGTAATTTCTGGAAAACAAAAAGCGTAAATTATGGTTACAGCTAACGTAGCACGCAATTACATTTATTCAAATTAAATATCAATTACAGAAATATCCATTGAATCCAATGTTAAATGCACGTGCTTTTGCATCTTTAGTTTTCCGGCGTAGCTTTCTCTTAAAACTCATCAATTAAATAAAACACTTTTAACTATAATTCTATTAAAAATATCTAACTAAATACGAAATTCGTAACAATACTATTTTTTCGACAATACTATTCGTACAATACTATTTTTTTTTTCAAGAATGCGAGGACTATACACGAAAGCATCTTTATTATTTAATAGTCAAGAAAATGAAGCGATTTCGAAGTGGTACGGGCAATCTTGGGGATGATTCACTCACTGGTGGGCCAAAAACAGTTGAAACTGAAAATGTAATTGAAATTACGTTTGTTAAAAATATTTATACATAAATAAGCTTTTAATTTTCTTTCTTAGAAAGAATTAATTAATTTATAAAACCGATCCTTAAAATTATGAAATACATTCTAATAAGATGAAAATTCAAAAAGAAAAAATATACAGCGTGTTTATAAAGTCCCGGACACATTTTGAAGTTTAATAACTTATAAAAAAATGAAGATATAAATAAACAAACTTATGGCATTTATTGATGGAATAACTTATATATTTTCCTTTTCAGGTTAGAATATCTTTACTTTTGTAAATATCGTCTGAGCGTGTGGTTAATTTCAGATAATTTCATTTTCCAGTCTAAATATCTGTACTTTTCTAAATATCGTCTGCTTATCAATTCATTTTTCTCTCTTTTGTTTTTGGCAACCATTTCAATGTTATGTTTACTTTTGATGTGTTTATTCTAGTACTTTTGTATGGTGATGTTTTATATTCGACCGGATATTAAGGAGAATGCATACACCACAAAGAGAAAGCACAGATTTTTATGGTGGTTCATAGAAACGAAATCCGTAATGCAAACACAGGAAAATTGCAGAAGAATTTACCAAAAGATCCTCCTCCATTCCAAAGCAGCATGTTGCGGTGGAAAAAGAATTTTCTTTTCTAGAAACTGGAAGTATCGCAAAGATAAGAAACGTTCCGGACGTCCCTGCATAAGTGATTTTGATGTTGAGCGTGTCAGAGAGACATTTTTACACAATCCTAGAAAATCTGTGATATCAGCGGCAAGAGAATTGGATATGCCAATTTCGACGGTGTGCAAGGTTATTAAGAAAACATTAAGACTGCATGGATACAAAGTTCAAATTGTTCAAGTTTTGAAACCGGACGATAGGCCTAGCAGGATGTCCTTTGCAACAGATATGCTAAGGAGGATAGAAGATGATCCTGAATTTCTGAAGCGCATAATGTTCTCCGACGAAGCATCCCTTCATCTTTCTGGCATTGTTAATCGCCATGTGCGCATATGGCGATGTGCGCATATGGAGATCTGAAAACCCCCATAAATACCGTGAGGCACAAAGGGGATTCCCCAAAGGTTAATGTGTGGTGTGGACTAATGCACGACCGAGTCATCGGGCCTTTCGTTTTTACAGAAAAGGACGGTCTCATCAGTCATATACTTAAACATGTTGGAAAACTTCGTATGTCCGTAACTAGAAGAGCTTCATCCACATGTCTTTTTTCGAACAAGATGGTGCACCACCTCATTGGAGTACCATCGTTCGTAGTTCTTTGAATGACCATTTTACAGGAAGATGGATTGGGCGAGGAGGTCCAATTCCTTGGCCACTCAGATCACCTGATAGAACGCCGCTGGACTTTTTCCTTTGGGGGATTTGTAAAGGACAACGTTTACAGGAGGAGAGTGTCGAACATGGATGACCTCAAAGCCAGAATTACAACCGCAATAGCCTCTGTGGATGCCGACATGCTTCGCCGGTACCTGGCGTGAAATTGAATATCGACTTGATATTCTCCGTGCGACGAAGGGGGCACACGTGGAAGTTCATTGACAAGGGTCATGAAACCTTTTGAGTCTATCTAACCATTTATGTTATTAATTTTAATCTATCTATATGGGTCCGGGACTTTATAAACACTGCATTTTGCACAAAGCCCCAATAGCCAATAACAATTAATAGCCCCAAAAAGCTATTAATTTTTTTTTTTTTTTTTTTTTTGTTTTTTTGTTTTGATATTTTGCTTCCAAAATTTTAAAAGTCCGTTTCACTTTTCAAACTGTTGCCACCTAACGTCACAGCCCTGCATTATATTTAAAGAAATTAAGCAATGAAGAATCTGCACAAATGTATGTATGTTTCTAGCATTGTGGTAAAACGACGGTACCTGGAGACATCGAATTTTGAATGATCTACGTTTCCACCCGAATATGGGCGTCTGGAACCTCGAATTTGGAATTTGTTTTATTATCTGTTTCATATTTTGTAAAGCATTTAGAAGTTTTTGACTAAGAAACTCAATGATTTCGAAGCGAGCAATGGCAACACTTAACGAAAACAAAAAAAAATTTTTACCTCCTGCGCACGAAACTGTGTATCGGAAATTCTAACGATAGGCTCATTTTAAAATTCTTTTGCGATATTGCTGTAGAATTGAATTTTAAGGTTTAAGTGCGAAGAATATGATATTTAATAAATAATGGTAACACACAATACGTTAAGTTAAGACAAACGTTAAGTTTAACACAAACGTTGTTAATTGTTTCTCTAAAAAATTATAATTAAAAAACAATATTAGCAAAAATAATTTTTCAGCTCAAAATTTTATCTAACAGAAACGTTCAATAAAAATCACAAACAAGCAGATGAAAGTTCTTAAATAAAAAACATCCATTCAAAGAGGTACTATGTCCCCTTAAAAATATATCTGCATACTTACAGAGGATAAAAACCTATTCTCAAATAAAATTTACCTTTCTGTAGAGAACAGTTATCATGTCTGCTGCGTTTTCTGAACTAATAAGTTCCAGATATTCTCCAGAAGAGCCTGTAATAGCAATGAGAGTGATGCAAATTATCGCCTTACGTTTTAATAATTTAACGATAATAAATAACGATATAGTTAATTATTATCATTATTCACTCGAAATCAATATTTACGTAATTAATAAATCAGGCATGTGTTTATACAAGATGCGAACAAAGAGTGGGTGTGTGATTATGTCAAAGCCTCGAGGGCTATCTGCCTGCCTTCGTGGAGGTTTAAGAGGAACTGGCTCGTATACATGTTACACATGGGGAAAACCACGAAGACGCCCATGCAGCCAGCCCACTCGCGGGATTCGAACCTAGGACCGAACTACCAGTGTTCAGCGACTTTACCGCTCGGCCGCTGGGGGGCTACGAACAAAGAAATACAAGGTGATTCTAAACTAGTTGTACACATTAGCAAAGTGATAGTACTCAACCAGATGAGCAATAATTACCATCGAACATATAGTCGCATTGCACTCTGAGAGGCAGAAAAGAAGAATATTAGAATTCCAATCCGAACTAACAACAGTGTTGGGAGAGCGAATGAACGAAACCAAATGTTGCACAGTCAGTTTAGTGAGAAACTCACAGAGAGTGTACCTCTGGGTCTATTCAACCAGGTCCTCGGTCCTGGGTAAAGGAACCTAAGTCCTGGGTCTATTGAACTTAAAGTCCAGGATGACAGGATAGATCCAGTTTTCCTGGACTTACTATGCTGCGCTCACTCTACTTGACGCTCCCTTCTATGCGACACGAAGTTCTGACAACCGGAACGCAGCATGAGCTTTTCATGCTAATCTCGGCATCCAGCGGACGCTGGAGTTAGTTGATAATATTCAGCCCTTGATTACATAATTAACTTGTGGCAATCGTTTGCGAGGTTAACACCTTGCCAACCAAAGATATGCATTTCAGTGTTTGCCATCAAAGTCTGAGCTTGAATTAACATTCGAAATCCGTTCTGTGCACTCTCTGTGAGTTTGTCACGAAACTGACCGTGCAACATTTGATCTCGTTCATTCGCTTTCCCAGCACTGTTGTAAGTCAGGTTGGAATTCTAATACAGTACAAAGTCCGTAATCCGGACTCGTCGAGATTTCGGCGATTCCGGATTAGGGGTTTTTCCGGATTATAGATCATCCATTTAAATCTAGTAAGATGGCATGCAGAAATTATACAATTAATAATATGAAACCGTAATTTATGAAATAAAGAACAATTATGATCAAAAGGGTATCAAAATTTACAAAAAAAAAAAAAAAAAACTTAATGTTTATTTGTTTACTTTATTAAACATTTGGATAGGCCTTTATCCATGTTTTGCAGCTTTCAACTATTTGTTTAATGGACATCGAAACATGCTTTCGCTTTGCAGACACTTTCGCAGCTCCAGAATCGGAAACTCTTTTTGACATAATCGAAAGTTCAAGCTTAATTTTTATAAGATTGTTTGTTCTAACAGTCAGCAAAAAATAATAAGCCGGATCCAATTAGAAAATTAAGGAACAGCGCAATCTGCAACATTAACTGAAGTGCCTTAGATAATTTTAGCCTAGCTTATACCGTCCGTTATACATTAAACGCGCATGCGTAAACACATTACGCGTCATGCGCATAAAGTTTGTAGCTTTGAGGTCCGGATTATAGATCATTCCGGATTATGGACGTCCGGATTATAGACTTTGTACTGTACTCTTCTTTTCTGCCTCTCAGAGCGGAACGCGACCCTATGTTCTATGGTAATTATTGCTCATCTGGATGAATACTATCACCTCTCTTAATTTGTAAAAGTAATTTAGAACCACCCTGTATATAAGATGCAAAACTATAGATTGTTTCATCAAATGCTTAAAATACAATTTTGCATATCAATTTCGGGAAATACACGAAAACGGGCCGGTAATGTAAGAAAAAACAGGTATTCTATGGCAGTGGTCTCCAGTGCGAGGTTCTTAAAGGGATACTGGGGTAAACCAAAGTAGGGCTCACAAACACCTATATTAACGATAACATACTTAATATAATACTGCTGCATGCGTACGGATTCGTAATAAATTGAGTGCACAAGTCTGATAAAAAGATAACAGAATTTATTCTTATCAGAAGAAATATAATGAAACGCTGGAATTTTTCCTCAAAGATATTCTTACAATATCACACTATCACATGCAGTAGATATATTTGAAACTTCTGAAACGTTAAATAGAATGCAATCCAAAGCGCAGAGAAAGCTAATCAGATCTCAAAATGACAGCAACTAAGTAAACAACAACAACTGAACTGAGATGTTCTTTCTCTCTTCAGCCTCGGCAGGCGCTGCATTGCACGGGGAAATAAAACAATTCTAATTACAATTCTACTAAAATAGCCAATTAAATGCAAAATCCGTAACAATACATAATATATTGTAACGAAATGCCCAGCTGTGCTGAGGTAGCTTCTTCACAAAGCGGAGTTAGGGTTGCCAGGAAGTGGCAAAGAAAAGCAGGGTTGCCAAATTTGGCGCGAACTAAGCACATTTGGTGACAAGATTAGCGCTATGTCATAGACGAAGCGAGAACATTCTAGAATGAATTCTTACCCGCTTTCCAAAGAATATTCTCGAAAGCAGGTCAAAACGCCTGCCTGTACGCGGAGTAGTAGTGTCCTGGAGTTTTATCGTGAGTAGTATCTAGAGTACGTTGAGTTCAGTAGTAGTGTCTTGAGCTCCGAGAGCGATCCACCGAGTCGGGAGCTGTACTTTAATGCTTTGCTGTGAAGCTGTATTTGCCGTTATAGCCTGATGGCTCCGTTGCTGATTGTTTCGGCGAGTTTATCGTAAATTTTCGACGACTGTAAACGTGTGTTTGAAACTCCCTTGCCCTGCTAATCAGATCTCAAAATGACAGCAACTAAGTAAACAATAACAACTGATCTGAGATGTTCTTTCTCTCTTCAGCCTCGGCAGGCGCTGCATTGCACGGGGAAACAAAACAATCCATTTTGATTCTTCATTAAGTGTTGTCACCAATCACTTCAAATTCACGAACCCGTCGAATGGAACCAATATTTCTTCTCTTCTGTTCTATATTCTATTTTATTACATTGCGTTCAAAGGTATCGTATTATACTACATTGTATTATTATATTATATAGGGTACAACTTATAATTATTTTCGTCTTAGGGGTATGCGATCAAAAAAGCTTGGTGATAATTGTTCTATAGAATGCTGAGGCCAGGATTTTCCAGCAGGGTCAGTTTTGAACTCCTGACGATCGGCTAAATTTGTAAAGGGACTTATGATGATAAAGCGGTTGGTAGCTCATTTTTAGAACGATTTCGATAAAGCATTCTAAAAGAGCAAATGTTTTGGCGTAAAAATTTCTGGCACCAACTTGTTGTTTGAAATGAGAAATATCGTCTGCTCCTTTTAAAGTCATTCTTCTTTTAAATGCCAAATTTCAAAATTCGCAGACGTGAAATACCCCTATTCCACAATTCAGAATTTTTGTGAAACAAGTCGTATTAAAATATGAAAGTGCAAAATAAGCGACATTACTAATCGGAAAGGGAAAAACCGTCAGTCATGACTTCTATATGGAAACAAAACTCCAAACGAAATACCCGAAAATGGTAGGCACTGTTTCTGATATTTGTAAAGTTAAAGTGTTAGTAAAAAGAAAAAAGCCCGAAGCAGAAATCAGTTGTAAAGTCTTTTAATTACATCTGTATCAACAATAAAAAAGAACGATAAACCACAAATTACAACTTACAAAAGCTGAGAAACAATGTTTACCAGATTATGCCGAGGCATGCGTCCGCGTATAAAGGTAAAGACAAAGCAACAAGCCATACTTCGAGAAATACTGCTGCATTCTCTGAAAAAATTTAAACTGATACAGATATTGAATTTTTAATGTATTCTGGCGAAGTCTCTTCACGTTTCACATACGTGCCTCTTATTAGTTTGAACATTAATTAAAAAACCCGCCAAAATCTTTCTAAAAATGTGTTAACCTTTAATTGGAGGCTAAAGAATCTGATGTGCACACCAATAAGTTCCTTGCTCGGAATATTAAATTATACGTATTTTTTCCTACCTTCCATTCAAACTTATTTCCTGGAATTTCATTAGAGAGATATTTCTCATTCAATGAATTCAGTTCTCACTTCGCGGAACGGCAAAAGTACATAAAACTTCAAAATAACCATACTAAAAATTGAGAGATATAGGAAAACATAAAACAGCAAATACAATTAAAACAATTTTTAAAAAAAAAAAATTTAGCTTACAATTAAAATTACAATTTCTACGCAAAAACAAGTCACTCGGCCAGCGGGCAAGAAGGCAGATTTTTTTTTCGGTGCACAAAACTGAAAGTTTACTTTAGGTCTCACTCGGCAAAAGGACACCGAAGGCGTAGAAAGTGACTTAATTTGTTGTGAACGCTATGCTGACTCAATATATGGGATAAGTTAAGAACTCAAATGATAATTCCAGATTGGATTAAGCTTAATTTAATTCGCAATAATAAAATATGACGTTACTTTGTTATTGCGAAGCTTTGTTTCTCTAGATTGGCAACAAATCCACTATCCTGCTAAGTTTAAATGTAAAAAAAAAAAAAACATGGGCTGCTATGGTAAACAAAAATTAGGCTTAGCCGCAATTAAACAGCTTTTAAATTGTTGATAATTCTACACTATAAGCATTTAAATGTTATTTAGGGCAAAAATGTTATATGGTATAGGCATGTGGGGCTGCCGGGAAGGGGAATTGATTAGACTGAGAACTAAACTGGATTCATTGCAAAGGAGCTGGCTGCTTGCAATCCTTGCAATCACAAGAGCTTTCCGTACTGTTTCTACAGAAGTTATTTGCCTACTTGCTGGCATTCCGCCACTCTCAATTTTTTACAACTTTTATTATGAAAAATTTTACTCAGCTATGGTTTAAAAAGATTTTAACATGAAGAAATGGTGATGTTTTGAATGGTAACGCCTTGACAGGAAAAGATTTTATAATATACATCCAAAAGATTTCAAGGGTATACCGTACGATAAAGATTATATGAATACTGCATGAGGATATAACTGATGGCTCCGGATATGAAGGTGGAACTGGTTGCGCTTTTGTTATTTTTTATTACGGAGTCGAAATCTATACTAGAAAAATACGATTAGAAGGAAATAAATCAGTGTATCAAGATGAAGCGGTTGCAATTAGAGAGGCACTGCGGTGGAGTTATAAAAACTTCAAACAGTACTACAATACATATTTATTCTGATGCTCTCTCGGCCCTACAATGCTTGGCGAATCCGGAATCAAGCAATAGACTTCTTTTGGATATAAAACACATTTATAACAAAATAAGATAGAAAAATGGTGTATTTTTTCATTGAGTCAAGGCACATATTGGTGTTACCGGTAATGAGAGGGCGGATATGCTAGCTAAGGAGGCAGCCCTGAGAGAGGGTGATATTTATGAGGCTATTAATGATTCCAGAGAAAGAGGGCAGCCCTGAGAGAGGGGTGCTATTTATGCGGCTATTCATGAATTCCAGAAAAGAAAAATTTTTTTTACCTTGAGAAAATGAAAGCAAGTATATTGAGACATAGGGCTCGGGAATGGAAAGGTTCAAATCAAAATAAGGGTTACTTTGAGGACTTGGACCAAAGAAAATGGATCTATTTAATAATATACTAGATACTCTTCAAGTGTCACCGATCATGGTAGATTCCCTGCCTATTTAAAAAAACGTTTTAATCTCCAGGTCAAATGGGCATCTTTGCTTTGGAATACGGAAGGCACTCATTTTATGAAAATACCTGACCGAGAGTGTGAGGACGAGATTTTGGAAAAAAAATGAAGCGAATGTAATTGAGCAAAGAAATTCTGAATAGCTATGAACATAATTATGAGATTGTGAATGAAAACAAGACTTCATAAATAGACGTATAATATTTTAACTTTTAGTGTTTTTTTTTTTTTTTTTTTTTTTTTTTTTTTTTTGTCTGCGTTGGGTGTGCTGCGATAACCATGAGGCCGATTATTGTCGGCCAGGAGCGTTGCAGCATACTCGTAAACTAAACTATAAGCATGCAGGCTAACCAAAAGCTTAGAAACCTTAACCGGAAGATAAGAATAATATAATTCAATTATTTTTAAAGCAAAAAATGCACAACTTACAAACATATAATAATTAAGAAACTGAGCTCAAGGAGACGAATAACAGAGTGGATATATATGTATATATATTTATATACTTTTGTTGCAGCCGATTGCAAAGAAAAAGGGAGGTGCTCACATCTACATTTATAGCTTATAGCAGTCCCACATACAAAATTTCAACGTTCTCAGGTTATTCATTTTTGAGTTATGTGAGACACACACATACATACGTACAGACGTCACGAAAAAATACCTCTTCTGAATCCATTCTAAATCAGTTTTATAATTCGTTCGGGGGGGAAAGAGAGTCCTTTATTCTGTCCTACCGTACAGATGTCATGCAAGAACATCGTTCAACTGCATTCGATAGCGATCAAATTGTGTATTTTCGTTGAAATATGGTACCCGGAATTTTTCGTGATTACAATACTTCCTTTAATTATCACAAGGAAGTAAAAATAGAGGATAGAAAGACAGACAAGAGAGGATAAAAACTTACCTTTATGCAGCTTGTCCACCAGGCGTATCCTATGTAAGGAGGCCTGTAGTGCTGGACCGTACTCCATGTGGGCAGCATCTACGCATAACTTTTCGGCCCTGAGCATGAGATAAGGCTTATCTGTATGATCACTAGACCGCGCAAGGTGGATGGACACTTCGCCTGCAACTAGTCTGAAGAGGATACGAATATAATTACTGGCAGAAACATTATCTTCGAAACCAGGCAGGTCGATTACTCGGGCCCAGTGTTCTGCCGCGCTAAATGCTTCTTCCTCGTCTGATTGATCGGAAAAAGAACGTTCAAGGACCCCTGTAAGAAAAATATATTGTTGATATATAAGTTTCCCGAAGCTTCGTTTACAATAGGACATAACTATTTCATCGTTTTTTCACGAGAGAGACTCGTTGATTTGAAAACTGTCTTCAGGTGTAAGCAACGCCATACACTCGGGGTTGAAAAGGGACCGAGAAAGAGTCGTCGCTTCGTACCAGCACTGTGATGGAAAAGTAATGTATTGTAGAAAGTAATGTCTCGGAAAGTATTATAAATTTTTGATTGTATTTACATTAATTTAGCATTTCTAATTGTTAGTCCAAAGAGGCAATTTGCCCTAAGGGACTTTAAACTTCGATTTAGCATTTCCGTGTTGGTACACTATAAATGTCGGTTCACGTTTTAAATTGTTGCCACGGAATATTATTGACCTGAGTTATATTTAAAGAAATTAAATAACGAAGAATCTGCATAAATGTATGTATGTTTCTCGCAGTGCGATAAAACAACGGTACCTAATTTCGAATGACGTAATCCTCCTGCGAATATGGGCATGTGGAAGCCCAAATATGAAATTTCGATTTTATTCAGCCAAGATATTAATTAAAAACTCCAAGAACATTGATTTTCGCACTCATTTTTCCGAGTGGCAACAGTCTCGCGCGTTGGTGACAAAAGTGTTTTACTTCGAAAACTGTTCCTATGGCTGGCTTTCAAATCCTAGACTTTGTTAATCAAAAATTTTTAAGTTTTGCAAAATCTATCTATCAATCTATATATACATATATATATACAAGAAAGAATGTCTATGTGTTTATTTATTTGTTCGGGTTACTGATTTCTGATTAAATATCATCAACCTTTTGCCACATTTAATCAACTAAAATTGAATATAGGTGAAATATTGGATGGAATTTGAGCCTTTACGACCATTTGATTAGAAAGACGAAAATCACTAAACAATGCGTGCCATTGTTGCCAATATAATGAGAGAGAATTTGTTTATTTTTCTATGGGTTCCATATCGCATGACACTGAAAAATGTATGACCCTGAATCTCATCTTTTGCATCGTTATTAGAGAAGGATTACAGCGGTATCGTTCTCTCTCTTGTTAGATGCATTACTCTCAAACTAACTTAACTGACATAGGGTACTTCCGCTTGTATTAACATAACTTTAAAACATTGGAATTGAAATTTTTCATCAAAGCAAAAAATAGAGTTTAAAATTGTTATCCTATATGTCATTTTGAGACTTTCTAGTTACTTGTTTGCATATCAGAGATCGCCTTGGGCGGCAAATGCCAGTTCTCCTCTCTTTACAGTTCATGTATCAGCACTCCGCAGCACGCTGAAAGTTTCAACTGCGCAGCCGCAAAACAGTGCATGAAAATATGTTTTTGCGTTGCCACAGCAGCGGCTAAAACTGAATGATGATTTGTTTTAAATAATATTTCGCGTTATCTCAATTTCGGCTCGACATTTAGGTGAACCAACCACAGCTAGGGAAATTAAAGAGAAAAAAATTCATTCTGTTTATGGCTGAATCTAAAGTAAATGTAAAATGGGATGAAAAGTGGTTTTAAAGTTGACTTACCGCTTGGTCTCTGAGACTCAGCTTGAGGAGAAGTGAGTAATTTGGGCTTCGATTTTCGATGAAGCCTCTTCCAGACTTCTTTCAAATCTGTGCCCGTAGGGTCCCTGAGAGTATGACTGCACTGAAACCATAAAAATAGTACATTCATTTAGTTACCAAACAAGTGCCTCCACCTTTATGCAATTTCGCCAAGGTACACTGCGAAAAAAGGGGAGGGAGACAATTCTATATCTCCCAATCTACTAGGCCGATTGACAAAATTCAAACTGCGTTCTCCATGTCTCGAAAGCGCGATTTAGGATATATATTAGATTTTTATATAGCTTTGTTCTAATATAGGTATGCTGACACTAAATCGGACTTTTCTGAAATAAACGTACTAGTATTTTTCCACATTTCGATTCTAAGACTCAAATTATGCCTAAATATTAAATTTGGTAAAATTTGGTGCGAAATTTACGAAGAAATTCAAAAATGTATAACGGCACATTTTTTTCAGTTTGCGCCAAGAATAATTCACTCGGAGAACTTCTTAATTTATAGCAACCTATTTTCCTTTCCTTATTTTCATTGTAGAGAAGCGGAAAAATGTCAACGTTCATACTTTAATTTAATAAATAATTTTAACAAAATGCGTAAACCACATTTTGGGGTTATTCTCGCTCAAAGGAAAAGATGCTAAATTTCAAAACTCCCCAATATAATTATATTTGGATTCAGCCTAAATTTCGAATTTTGGAAGAAAGAATCAAGTAACTTAATAAAAAAGAGATATTAATAAATATATATCAACTTCAATTAACACTGAGGTGTTGGGATTTTGAGAGCTAATTTTTGAAAAACTCCTCGTGCAGTTTTTACAAAACGTGACAGTTTGGCATAATTTGAGTCGTAGAATCGAAACATGAAAAATGCAAGTTGAATTTAATCAATCGGCCCAGTAGAACGTGAGCTATAGAACTGTTCCATTTTTTTGCGAATTGTACACTTAGGAATGATGTACACGGAACTACAGCCAGCATTCGTTACACGGCACGCAACTAACAGGTCTTTCTTATAAAATTGATCATTATTGTATCTATGTACAGGGAACTATAGCCTGCATTCGTTACAGTGCATACAACTACATGTCTTTCTTGAAAAGATTAATCACTGTTGTATCTACGTACACTTAGAAATGATGTGCACGGAACTACAGCCAAAATTTGTTACAGTGCACGCAACCGACGGGTCTTTCTTGTAAAATTGATCATTATTGTATCTATGGACACGGAACTATAGCCAGCATTCATTACAGTGTACGCAGCTAACATGCCTTTCTTGGAAAGATTAATCACTATACACCTAGATACAGTGATACATAGGAAAGATATCTATGTACACCTAGGAATGATGTGCACGGAAAGACAGCCAGCATTCGTTACAGTGCACGCAACTAACATGACTTTCTTGAAAGTATTGATCATTGTTGTATCTATGTACACCTAGGAATGTTGTGCACGGAACTATGGCCAGCATTCTTTACAGTGCACGCAACTAGCATGTCTTTCTAGAAAAGATTGATCATTGTTGTATCTATGTACACTTACGAATGATGTGCACGGAACTATAGCCAGCATTCGTTACAGTGCACGAAACTAACATGTCTTTCTTGAAAAGATTGATCATTGTTGTATCTATGTACACTTAGGAATGATGTGCACTGAACTACAGCCAGCATTCGTTACAGTGCACGCAACTGACAGGGCTTTCTTGTAAAATTGATCCTTATTGTATCTATGTACATGGAAGTATAGCCAACATTTGTTTCTTGTGAGCTTGATCACGACAGGGACAGGTCTTCAAATCGGGATATATTGAAAAAAATCCGTTGAAAACTCACCAGTTGAACTTCTCTAAAGGAAGAGGAATCCATTTCATCATTGGGGGAGTGAGGAAGTGGAATGTTCTGAAGAAATTCCACAATCATGGATATTCGGCGGTCAGACAGATTTAGTTTCAAGCTAGGTACACTCACGTTCAGCTTTTGCCTGCGGAAAATAACAGACAAATGTTAATTATCTTGCGGTTGTCTAATTTATTGTGCAACAATCTTTCAAAATCTATGCGATTTGGAAAAAGAATTCTAAAATTCTATCGAAAACAGTAACATTCTTTTCATAAATTAAAACTTGTAAATACATTCATTAAAACATTTTAATACACGTAAAAATATTCAGAAACTAACATTATGTTATGTGTGTAAATAAATTCACACATTAAAATATTATGACGGTTTTCGTACTGAATTAGCTATTTTTAAATAGAATTGTTATTTAATTGTTTCATTTTCCCGTGCAATGCTGCACGCGACTTATTTGAAGAGAAAGCTACGCCGACAAAATGGAAAATACAGGAGCACGCGCGTTCAATAAATAGATATCTTGTAATTGCACGCTTTTGCTTTTCGGGAAAAATCGAGAAAATACCAGAATATACTTGCGCGTGATTTAAAAAGCTTTTAAAAAGGAGGAAAACCTCTCAATTCAGTAGTTGTTTTATGAGTTTGTTTAGAAAACTGCTGTTGTTTACTGTAGCGAATTCGCGGTGAATTCGGATTAGCTTTCTCTACGTTTGTCTATTTTGAATTAGACCTGTTGTACTGTGATAATAATAAACTTTACCATCAGACTTGTGCGTTCAATTCATAACGAAACGTACGCACGCATTAATATATTAACACGTGTAATCCATAAATTAAACCACATTAATTTTTATGTTTAAATAAATTCATAAATTAAAACACATTAACTTTTATGTTTAAATAAATTCATAAATTAAAACAAATTAATTTTTATGTTTAAATAAATTCA